CGAGCGCCCGCCCTCCCTCCTCCGCCTCCCGCGTCCTCCTCCCACTCTCCGGCGCGCTCCTCCCAGACGCCAGTCCTCACCTTGACCCGCTCCAACTGCTTGAGGACGTGCTCCCGCCGCCGCCCTGCTGCTCGCTTCCCCCCGGCTCCCCCGGGGCCGCCGCCGCCGCTCCCGGCCCCACTGTTCCGCTCCGATTTCGAGCTGGGCGCCATTTTCACCCCCTCCCTCCACTTCCGGAGCAACCGGCCCCTTCGCCCCACCTCCGCCACCTTCTTATTGGCCCTTTTCCGGGACGGCGGACCGCGGGTTGGGCGAAGAGCTGAGCGCAGAGACGCTTCCCGCTAAGCTTGTCCATCAAAACCTTCACGACTCTTGATTGGTAGCGATAGTAACAGCCTCCGCCGTCTGTCGCTGTATTCCCGCCCTCCATTAAGGATGAACCAGTCATAAGCTCCATTTGCTCTCCTCTTCCAAAAATTTTTTGACCCGATGGTCGAACATTCCTGTCTTTCTCAGCGTCGTCACGCCCTCCGGTGGCTGGTGGGTTTCCATGGAGACCGCAGGCGGTCCAGGCCTGTGGGAGGGACGATGGAAACCTGTGGTCCAGAAGGGCCCGAATCTCCAGCCCAGAGTTGCCCAGGCCTGGTGGGCAATGGCTCGAAGACCATCCCCGGGCAGCCAGGCCAGGGCAAGGAAAGGATTTGCAATAAATAATAATAATAGCAGCAATAACGATGTTTTAAAAAGGGATTCTAGGGCGGGCTAGTGCAAACACGATCCATCAGTCAAGTATCGCTTAACAGGGGCAACACATGGTTCTGAGTTTGCAGTGTTTATATGCAGCCCCCGTTCTGCCTGTTACACTGATGGCGGGAATAAAAACAACTGCAGAATGTTGGCTGTGTGTATCCATGTGTGCAGCAGTCTTGAAGAGAGAGCCTTTATTTTACACTTGAAACTGAAGTTTAAACTGTAGCACTTCTGAAGACCGGACGCTTATGTAGCAAAGATGCTGCTGACAGGCGGCGTGGTGTTCAGTGGGTCTAGGCTCCTGTCCCGATCAAAGAACTGGATGGAGACAACCGATGAACACAACAGTTTAACATTTATTAAACAAAAGGAAAGGAAAAGAAGAAAGAGAAGAAAAGATGTGCCCTGCACACGGGACAGGCCACTGGTAAGAACAAGAGGATACTGGTGAGGAGGCCCGACCGCTTGTCTTTTGTAGCGTCTTTTAAGGGCAGGACTTTGAAGCTGCTCTGCGCATGCGTCTAGGCCAAGCGTTGACAGGCCTCATAATTGACAAGTCACGCCCAGTTGCCTAGTCGTGATTGGGCGTGATTTGACAGCTCCCTATGACAGGTCATGCCCATTGCCCAACCTGATTTGCCAAGCCCTAGTCTCCTGCTTCAGTGCCGGATCTTATTATGACAGTCTTTCCTCCCCTCTGTTTCCCTCTCTCTCTCTTCCAGCCTCACGCATTCATTCCTTCAGTAAGTATTAACTGAGCATGTACTATGTGCCTGTGGGGAACTAGCAATACAGGGGACTGGAAGACAATAAGCAAGAAAACAAAATACAAATTTCTGGGGGTTTTTTTGCCGGGCGTGGTGGCGCACGCCTGTAATCCCAGCACTCGGGAGGCTGAGGCAGGAGGATCGTTGCAAGTTCAAGACCAACCTGGGCTACAAAGTGAGCTAAAGGCCAGCCTGAACTGCATAGCAAGACCCTGTCTCAAAACAAAAATAAATTCTGGTTTTTTCAAAAAAAATTTATTAGTACATGTCTGGTGTCCATGTTTCTTTCTTGAATCCCAGGTAGAGTTGGAGAAGGGAGATAGAATGGAGGGCAATTGGAAAGGAGGTCTATGCAGGCAGGGGGAGGAAAATCCCATTAAAGACGAAGTGTAGGGAGGCCAGATCCTGCGATTGAGAGACTGATGTGGATTTCATCTTTGTGCGAAGACTAGAGTGTGCTTACCAAAACTAAGGTGGTCGTGACAGCGCTAGACAGGACAATGTACTGGTGTACGTGTGGGCTGCTCACTGGCCACAAGCACTGTTACCCAGCACATGGCTGGAGCTGGGTCAGGGCAGGAACGAGCAAGAGAAAAATGAGCAAAGAGGCCTGGGGACATAGCAGAGTGGTAAAGGGTTACTTAGCATTCAAGGCCCTGGTTCCATTCCCAACACCAGAAAGTAAAAAACAAACTAAACAACAACAACAACAACAAAAAACCCACAGGGTGTAATGTGTAATGGTACACACCTGTAATCCAAGCACTCTGGGAAGCTGAGGCAGGGAAACCTCAAGTTCAAGCCTAACCTGGGCAACTAAGCAACTTATTTGAGACTCTGTCTCAAAATAAAGAAGGGCTGGGACTGTAGCTCAGTGTGAGAGTGTGAAGCCTAGCTTTAATCCCCAGTGCTGGGGGGGAAAAAAAGGCAAAAGAAACAGATGACTAGAGAGAGAGATGAGTTTAGGGATCTCATTGGTAAGTAAGGCACTTAGATTTTACTCTTAAGTATAAAGGGAAGTTTTTTTGGGAGGTTTTTAGAGGAAAATGATGGAAGCTGACACGAGATTGAAAATATTATATCATTGGAATCCAAGGATTTAAATGCCAATGAGTCCACGCTGATAAAAGTAACTGAGTAAATAAATAAACAAGGGAAGGAGGGACCAAGCTGCCTTACAGATGTCCAGTTAATAAAATGTACAAGGCATGAGGAGACTAGAAAACCATCATTAGAGCCCCACATGATAACACAGGCCTGTAGTCTCAGCTACTCTGGAGGCTGAGGCAGGAGGATCACTGGAGCTCAAGTTTGAAGCCAGACTAGGCAATACAGTGAGACCTGTCTCAAAAAGAAAGAAGGAAGGAAGGAAATAGGAAAGGAAAGGAAAGGAAAGGAAAGGAAAGGAAAGGAAAGGAAAGGAAAGGAAAGGGAAGAAGAGGGGAGAGAGGGGGAGGACAAGTGAGGGGAGGGGAGATGAGGGGAAGGAAAAAAGGAGGAGAGACCACAAAAGCATCATCAGTTAGGCAGGACAGTAATAACTGCAGTAGGCAATACCCACACATGCTAAAATTAGTGGACGAAACTTTAAGGACTTTGCTTCTCCTATTAAACTGCCCATTCCAAACATTAGTAATTATTGAGAGATTTTAAGCATATGTCCACCAATTGTTTGATATTTGGTATCATGGACCAATATGATCACAGACAGCTATGATCTGATTTTACTTCTCTTACATTGTCCCCAAAACCTACAGATCAAATTAATCTGTCTCTCTCCCCCGCCCTCACCCCCATCTCTCTCTCTCTCTCTCTCTCTCTCTCTGTGTGTGTGTGTGTGTGTGTGTGTGTGTGTGTGTGTCTCTGTCTCTCTCTCTCGGTTTTTTGTTTGCTTGTTTTGAGACAGGGTCTCGCTATGCAGTTCAGGCTGGCCTTGAGCTCACTTTGTAGCCCAGGCTGGCCTTGAACTCATGGCTATCCTCCTGCTTCAGCCTCCTAAACGATGGGATTACAGGTGTGTGCCACCACAGTAGGTGGCCCAAATTAATCTTGAGAGAATAACAGATATTAGTCCCATTTTGAGGACATTCTATAAAATACATGAGCAATGTGTTTCCAAGGTGTCAAAGGCGTGAGAAATAAGGAAAAATACAGAAACTGTCACCAACCACAAAAGGAAAGGGAAGGGAAGGGAAGGAAATACGACATGTGGAATGATGTCCTGGACATCATGCTGACAGGAAATACGACAGTGGAATGATGTCCTGGCTGAGACCCTGGACCAGAACAAGGACGTCAGAGGGAAAAGTAGCGAGACTAAAATTAAGTGGTAGGCCCAGTGGCACATGTCTGTAATCAAAGCCTGCAGGGAGCTGACGCAGGAGGATCGCCATGAGTCTGAGGCCAGCCTGGGCTACATACAGAGTTCAAGGCCAGACTAAACTATATAGCAAGACCCTGTCTCAAAACTAAAGTAAAATAAAATTAAAATGGCTGGTTGTTGCAGAATTTCCATGAGTCAGAGGCCAGCCTGGGCTACATACAGAGTTCAAAGCCAGACCGAACTATGTAGCTGAGACCCTGTCTTCAAAAAGACAAAAAATAAATAAAAACAAAAACTCCAGATGTGGTGATGACGGGCATTCTCTGTCCTGTCTTGTGTCAGTCTGGTCTGTGTTCCTATAAAGGCTGGGTGGCTTTATAAAAGAAAGGGGGTATAGTATTAGCTCAGGGTTCTGAGGGTTCAGGGACAGCCCTCTCCCTGGTAGAGTCCCTAGGTGGTCAAGGCGTAGCCTGGCAAGAGCCCGCCAGTGTGCGCACGCGCATTCTGCTCTCCGCCTCGCCTGGCCCCGCCCCGCCCCGCAAAGCCACCCTCACCTTCGCGGCTTCACCTGAGCCTCCCACCTGACGGCCGCGCCTTGAACACCATTTGCTGAATTAAATCCCCACCCTTTTACTACGTCACAGTAGGGATTAAATTTCAATACATGAAGTTTTGGGAAACAATCAAACCCAATCCAAACCACAGTATGAATCAAGTAAGTAATTGGGTTTTTTTTTGTTTTTTTTTGTTTTTTTTTTTTGCGGGGGGGTGGCAGTACCAAGGATCCAACTTAAGGCTTTTGTGCTGAACCCTGCTGATCCCCAGCCTTACTTTTGTTTTTTATTCAAGATAGCATCTCCCTAAGACACGGAGTTGCTCAGGCTGGGTTTGAACTGACAACCCCCCGCCTCACCCTCCAGGAGCGTGCAGCTGACAGGCGCGCACCCCATCCCTGGCTTCCCTGTGCTCATCCTCCAGTGACTGCGGTCCTCTGACACGAAGGTACGACACAGCGACACACGAGGGGTGACGGCCAAGGAATGAGGATGAGGAGGTGAAGGGCGTGTCTACCAGCCCAGGAGCCCCGAGGAGCCAGCAGCCAGCGGCTGCAGCTTGGTTCTTGAACGTCCCCTAAGACTCTGGGCTGTGTGACCACTATAAAAAGAACAGCTGAGAATAGGAGAGGCTGATTTTGCTGATTTTGGCTCACGGGTTCAAAGGTCTCGTCCATGGCCGGCTGGCTCTGGGGCTGGGACCCGAGGGAGGCAGACACCCCGGTACAGGTGTGGGAAGGGAATCTGCTCGCCTCATGGCCATCAGGAAGTGGAAAGAGAGGGAAAGAGGCACAGAGGAAGGTGTTAGGAACCAGAGCACATGTCCTGATCCACTACCTTCCGTTCCCTCGCCTGCCATGGTGCCATCAAATTACGACCTCACCAAGGGCTCACAGCTCTGAGAAAGTCCCCACACCCCAGTCTCCTCTCCAGACCCACCTCTGAGCCCTACTCAGTGGGGATCCAGCCTTTGATACATGCGTCTTTGAGGGACACTTCATATCTAACTGTATCCAAAGACTTGGTCCTAAACCAGGCATAATGGCACACAGCAACAATCTCAGCACACAGGAGGCTGAAGCAGGAGGATCACTGTTAGTTCAAGGCTACATAGAAAGACCCTTTCTCAAAAAAAAAAAAAAAAAAATTAAAGACTTGGTCCTGAGAGTGGTGCTATTGGGAACTGGTGGAACTTTTCATGCTGAGATCCAGTGTGGGGGTCTTTAGATCAGGGTAGCTGCCCTGGAAGGAAACAGTGGGGCCCCACCCCTTCCTCTTTCTCTCTTTTGCTTCTGGGTCACAAGGGGAGTTGATCCCCTTCTCCCAAGGGGTCCCACCATGATCAACTGGCTTCTATAGACCCAGACCACAGGACCCAACTGATCACCAATCACAACCTCCAAATCTATAAGCCAAATCTCAAGCCAATCTATGAGCTCTTCCCTCTTTTACTTTTGTTCTATTTTTTTTTTTCAGTATTGGGGAATGAACCCAGGATCTTCACATTGAGCTCCATCTCAGCCCTTTTCTATTTTTTATATTGAGACAGGGTCTCACCCAGGTTGGACTTGCAGTTGTCCTGCCTCAGCCTTCCAGAATACTGAGATTAAAAGCCTGTACTACCATGCCCAGCATTTTTTATTTGTCTTTTTGAGGCAGGGTCTCGCTATGCAGTTCAGGCTGGCCTTGAGCTCACTTTGTAGCCCAGGCTGGTCTTTAACTCACAATGTTCCTCCTGCCTCAGCCTCCCAAGTGCTGGACATGTTTGCTTTTGCAACAGGGTCTCACAGAGTAGTCTAGGCTGATCTCATCCTCAGGATCCTCTAGCCTCAGCTTCTGAAGTGCTGAGATTTCAGATGTGCATCACTGCTCCCAGCCCAAACCTTCCCTCAATATAAGTTGATGATCTCAGCTACTTTGTTGGAGGGATAGAAAGTGAATGTACCCCAAAAACTGCCAGAGAGGGATGGAACAGATTACTCCTCAGAGCCACCAGAAATAACCAACCCTGGCAATACTTTGATGTTGGACTTCTGGCCTCTAGAATTGTGAGAATAAATTTCTTTTCTTTTCTTTTTTTTTTTCCTGTCTTTTTGAGACAGGGTCTCACTATGCACTTCAGGCTGGCCTTGAGCTCACTTTGTAGCCCAGGCTGGTCTCGAACTCACAACGATCTTCCTGCCTCAGCCTCCCAAGTGCTGGGATTACAGGCGTGTGCCACCACACCAGGCTAGAATTGTGAAAATAAATTTCTGCATTTTAAACCACTGAGCCTGTGGTAATCTATTATGGCAGCTGTGAAAAAGGAATAAAGTGACTGTGAGAATAATGACTCCCACGGGAGGCAAGGAAAGACTGAGAGACTATCACAGGCCAGAGGAGACCAAAATGGGATGAAGTCATGTTCAATGAGGTCCTGGGCCAGAAAAATCAGCTGCGGTGGCAAAACTGGTAACTTTTCCATGAAATATGTGGTTAAATTAGTAGCATGATGTTCACTTCCTGGTTTTGAGAGCTGGACAGCTCACACTTATGAGTGACATGAAAATCAGGAGGCTGGGTGAAGGTATCTACCAGGACTTCCCAAATTATTTTTACAACTTTCCATAAGTTTAAAATTTTTTCAAAATTAAAAGTGTAGCCTGGGTGTAGTGGCACAAGCCTGTAATCCCAGCACTTGGGGGGCTGAAGCAGGAGGATGGCCGTGAGTTCAAGGCCAGTCTCAGCTACATAGTGACTTCAAGGCCGGTCTGAACTGTATAGGGAGACCCTGTCTCAGAAAAGAAAAAACTTTTTTTACATTAGATTTTGTTGGTACATTTTAGGTATATATAACAATCATATTCATCATAGGGAATTCATACCTGTACATGATATAACTTGTTTTTGACAAAAGTCTTTTTTAAAAAGTTTAAAAAGTACATAATTTGTGGACAGGTGTAGTGGTGTGTGCCTATTATTCCATTACTGAGGGAGGCTGAGGCAGGGGAATCACCATGAGTTCAAGGCCAGCTTCGGCTACATAATTCAAGGCCAGTCTGAACTACATAGTGAGACACTGTCTGAAAAAAAAAAAAAAAAAAAAAACTACACGATCTATCTTTCTTCCTACATACTCTGTCATTAAGACCCGGAACACATCTGAGACTTTAGCTGACTTCCGTGCCTGAGTGGGATGGTGCGAGAACCCTGGCCTGCACACCCACAGCCCTCTTCCTCCTCTTCCCACCTCCAGCTCCACCATCTGGCGTGAGGGGTCTTGTGTCGTCCCTGAGGACACCCCAGGGTACGCACCCAGGCTCCACCCATCGCTTCCTGTTACCCTTCGAACCACCCCCTTGCAACTCTTCCAGTCCTGAGGAGAGAGAGGGGGAAGAGTAGAGTCCCATACACTGGCAGTGAGCTCTTGGAGAGTCAGCCTGAGTTCTGGGGTTGTCACATTCCTCACTCCTATCCGATTCTCCATCCTGTGGGGATGGCTGCACCCAGAACACGCCCAGAGTTTAGCAATCACTCTGCTTGGAAGTTTTGTGTCCCCCCAGGTACTGGTCAGTTTTTCATCCCTGGGACACAATACCTGACACCCACAAGTTAAAGGAGGAGAGGTTTGAGTTGGCTCATGGTCTCAGAAGGTTCCATGCATGGTCAGCTGGCTACAAGGCAGGAGCACGGTGGTGGAAGGGCGTGATGGAGCGCAGCTGCTCTCCTCGCAGCAGCCAGGAGGCAGAGAACACGAGGACAGCACCACAGAGGAAGGGGCCAGAGCCCAGACAGAGGCCTCAAGGTCACACCTCCGTGACCCACACAGGCACACCCAGAGGTGTGTTTTGTTAATCCCCTGGACAGCGCCCAGGCTAACTCTCACCCATAAAATTCACGTTCTGAAATCCTAACCTCTTCTCAGCGGGGGCAGCTCAGTGGTAAAGCACTTGCCTAGTATGTCTGAGGCCTTGGGCTCCAACCTCAGTACTGAAAAAAGGAAGAAAGAAAAGAAGGAAGGAAGGAATGAGGGAGGGAGAGAGGGAAGGAGAGACCCTACCTTGCAAGGTGACTACACCAGGAAGGGGCAGCCCTCATTCAACGACATTAGGCTTGCAGTGGTGTGCACGCTTTGTCTCCACGGAAATGCATATGGAGGCTTGGTCCCCAGGGTAGTGGCAGTGAGAGGTGGTAGGACCCTTAGGAGGTGTCTGAGGCCTAGGGTGCTGCTTGTTTAGCAAACTTCAACCCCTGGGTTCTGTCCCCAGCACCCCAGAAGGTCCTGAGGCTCCAGGCTCACCAGTGAGAACTGCTATTCTCTGAGAAGGCCCAGCCCCTCTGGAAAGTCACCGCATTTCCTCTTCACTGGCACCCACCGTCCTTCCAGGTCCACCCTGAGTTCCTGGAGCCCGCAGCCTGCACCAGAAGTGGACAGCTGCAACTGCCCACTCTTAGGCCCCCAGCCCCTAGAACTGGGAATTAAATCCTCTTTTCTTACTAAGTTCCCCATTCTCAGGCTTTCTGTTACAGCATCAGAAAGTGGACTTCAGCAGTTCCACCATGTGAAGACATAGTAAGACACAGTCACTGTCTATGCACCAGGCTGCAGCTGCTCCAGACAGCAAATCCTGGAGTCCACCAAGCCCCCTAAGACATCCAACACTAAAATTCAGCTGCATGTGGTGGCATACGCCTATTATCCCAGCACAGAGGGAGGCTGAGGCAGGAGAGTTACAAGTTTCAGCCCGGCATTCCCACTAAGTTGCCCAAGCTGGACTAAACTTGTGATCCTCCTGCCTCAGCCTCCCGAGTGCTGGGTGACAGGTGTGCACTACCACACCGGGCTCTTTCCCTACTTTCAGAGACAATAGGGCACAGAAGTTTATCACAGAGATGCCTCCTTTTCCTGGTCATGGATCACATCCCCGAAGATAACCAGAAGCACTCACTGCTCACAGGCATGTGTGTTGTATTACAAATGACAAAAGCACACACGTGCACTCAAACCACACTATGTACCATGTGAATCACAGACCATACATGGAGAATAGGCCCAAGACAGGATGACAAAGCAAATGGAACTAGAAATTATCATTTTTCCCCATACCACTAACTTTGCTTTGTTTTGTTTTGGGTTTTTGTTTTTGTTTTGTTTTGTTTTGTTTTGCAGTGCTGGAGATGGAACTCAGAGACTTGTACATGCTAGGCAAGCAGTCTACACTGAACTTCAGGCCCAGCCTTTTTTATTTTTTAATAAAAGGGTCTTGCTGAGTTGCCCAGACTAGGCTCAAACTTGCAATCCTCCTGCCTCAGCCTCTGGAGTAGCTGAGATTACACGTGTGGGCTATCATGCCCAAAATGAACCTCAGTGTTTTTTTTAACCAATATATTTTATTCTCTTCTTTATGAGACAGGGTTTCACTATGCAGTTGAGGCTGGCCTTGAGCTTACTTTGTAGCCCAGGCTGATCTCAAACTTGCAATGATCCTGCCTCAGCCTCCTGAGTGCTGAGATTACAGAAGTGTGCTACTATGCCAGCCTGTGTTTTTTTTTTTTTTTTTAGACAGCATCTCACTATGTAGTCCAGGCTGGCCTCAAACTCATAATAATCTCCTGCCTAGGGCACCACATAACTAGTGCTGCCCAGTGACACGCAGTGTCTCACTTGCAGACTGAAGTAATAGGCAGTTCCTTTGTGAGTCTAGTGTCTGTTTTTCACCGTTCCAGTGGCCTTGGGGACGACAGTTCTGCATCACAAAGGTGCAGCTCAATGGGAGGAATCACTTCCAACTTTCCATAGTCTAGCAGGGTCACGTGGAGGGCAGCAGCTCGTTATATATTTTGAGGGAGCCTGTAGAAGCCAGGTGTGGTGCTGCACACCTGTAACCCCAGCACTCAGGAGGCTGAGGCAGGAGAATCACCTTGAGCTCAAGGCCAGCCTGGGCTACATAGTGACTTCAAAGCCAGCCTGAGCTACATAGCGAGACCCTGTCTCAAAAACCAAACCAAAACAAAACAAAACATCAAAGTAGGCAGAAGAGAGGACTCTGGATGTATGCAGTGCAGGAAAAGGATCAAAGTTGAAGAGAGGGTGGGCCTGGGGATTTAGCTCAGCGGCACAGCGCCTGCCTGGCAAGCGTGAGGTCGTGAGTTTGATTCCCAGTACTAGAAAAAAACAAAACAAAACAAAAGTCTACACCTCATGCAGAACTGTTAAAGAAAAAAAAAAAAAAACAAAGTTGAAGAGAGGAATCGGCCAATGACTGTGACCAGATCATTATAATTCTACCCATATATTGAAAAGTCTCACTGCACCCCATACCCATACATCTGTACAATTATATGTGTACATCTATACAATTTTCAAATACATTTTAAGGTGGGTGTGGTAGCATACCATTGTCACCCCACTGCTGGGAGGCTGAGGCAGGGATATCACAGGTTCCAGTCCAGCCTGGGGAATTCATGCCCCCCCAGCCCCCATCTGCAAAGGTGTTTGAATACCACGTCTCCCTGTAGAAACCACTGTTCACCCCAGCCTCTGTTCCCAGGTGCACCCCTGCGTGGCTCTGCTTGCTGCAGCCTCCCTTTCCAGGCTGTGAGTATAGGTGAAGAATAAATTGATGTCATCCAGGGATGGGACACACACCTGTCACCCCAGCACCCATCCCAGGCTAAAGCAGGAGGATTTGTAAATTCAACACAGCCAGGGCAACTTACTGAGACCCTATTTCAAAAAATAAAAGGGCCAAGGTTGTTGCTTGGTGCAAGGACCCGATGTTCAATTCCAAGAGCAATAAAAAAAAAAAAAAAAAAAAAAGGGGTAAACACGTCAATCTCATGTGTCTGGTGTTAGGCGTTATATTCAGCCTTTTCATATTATTTAATGTAATGATCTCCCCTTCACCAAAGGGTCAAAAAGGAAGTGATCAAAATACTAGTCAGTTCAGGGGTGGCATGTCATTTTCTGGTGCTGAGGACCCAGTTTGCTTTTATCTTGTTGCTTCACTATTCAAGGCCTCTGTTCCCAAAGTAATGTCATGGTCCAAAATGGCTGCTGGAGTCCCAGCAATCACATCTACATTCCAATAGCAGGAAGTAGAAAGGCATCTCTTTTTTCCTCAAAGCTGTGCATACCATGTCTTCCTGTATCTGGTCTGCTAGAATTTAGTCATTTGGCCACACTTGGGTATAAAGGAGGCTGGGAAATGTAGCTCTTTTTCCAGGAAGCCATATGTCCAGGTAAATGTCAATAATTTATAGAGTGGTTCAGATTATGAAGGAATTATCAGCCACATGCAGGTGTAGTATGCACTAATGCTGGTGACAGCCGGCTGTGCTGAACATTGGGGTCATGCTGGTGGCCTGTCCTCCATCGGTGTCCTTGTAGAGAACGTCCTGCAGGAGCCTGGCACAGTTGCACACACTTGTAATCCCAACACTTGAGCTGAGGCAAGAGGATCAGAGCTTGGGGGCCCGCCGAGAAAGAGAACCATTTCCTGTTGGGCTGGGCAGGGCAGGGCTGGACCGGGTAGAGGGCGGGCCATGTGTTGCCAGGAGACAAAGCCAGCTGCTTATTTAGTTACGTGAGTGATGAGGATCGTAGCGAATCAGCACATTCCATCCTTTGGGCACAGGGATTGGTTCTGGGTGGACACGTGCCCAGAGCTAAGCCAATGAGATTCAAGATTGGGATTTTCTGCTGAAGTGGGAGTTGTCTGCGGTTTAGGCTGCGGTATTGCAGGGCACAGGGACCTTTTAGAGTCCAGAGCTAGGGAAAGAAGCCACCTGGAGAGCATCATCTGAGTTCCTGGATGCAGCTGTGCTTGAAGGACACATTCCCCTGCCTTCTCCAGTCATGCAGCAATAAGTGACCTTGTTCGGATTAGCTAGTTCCCTCGGCTCCTCTTGCATAGCTAAAAGAGCCTGCCAGACACCCCAACGTCCTGCCGCGGTGTCCTGATGCTTCCTGGCTCAGGACTGGTGCAGTAGCTCAGCCTCCCGGGGCTCTGCCACTCTGTTGGAGCGGCCAAGGTGCTCCAGCCCACTGCCCAGCCAGTGGGCGCTGGTCCCACAGGGACAGCTTGAGGTGGGCCATGTTGTTCCCTTATGGCCAGAGCTAAAAGCTGTTTCCTGTCCTACCTGGTAAGAGGGTTGGTCATCCAGTCCTGGGACATGTGGACAAGTGAACTTTTCTCCTCTGTAGGTGCAAAGATTAGTATAGACACCCTCTCCTTGTTCTCTCCACCCGGGGCTGGAACCTAGGGAAGCTGTACCACAGCCCCTTTTATTTTGAGACTGGGTCTCACTAGGTTACCCAGGCTGGCCTTGAGCTTGCAACCCTCCTGCCTCAGTCTCCTGCGAATGTGGAAGTACAGGTGTGCACAACCGCTCTCCGAAGTAGTTCACTGTTTATTGTTGTGCTGCCCCTTCAGGTCGTCAACGCCATAGCCGCCTTCTGAGGTTAGCACACTTAACCCTAGTCTCAGACTCTGCTTCTGGAGACTCCAGCCTCGTTCCCCTCCCCTGCCTCTGCCACTGTCAAACTGAGCCCTCAGAGTATGCAGATGGCATTCTAAGGACATTCTGCCCGGAATGGTGGTGCACTCCTGTCATCCCAGCACTCTGGGAGGCTGAGGCAGGAGGATCACAAAATGGAGCCCAGCCTGGGAAATTTAGTGACTTAGCAAAACCCTGTCTCAAAACAAACAAACAATGGTTGGGGACATAGCTCAGTGTGAAGAACTTGGGTTCAATCCCCAGCATCATGCAAAACAATGAAACCTTTTACCCAACCCCCATGTTTTGCTTTCCACCCGCCCTTTGAGGCCGGGTTTTTCTGTCATCCCTGTTTCCCAGGTGGGAAAGCTGAGGTCCAGGCACACAAATGAGTCAGCCCCAGGCCTGGTGGTGACATCAGAGATGTGTGGGCGCCAGCCCTCACGTGTTACCTCCTTAAAGTTTATGTCGCTCCTGGGAGGGAAAGGTGGCCATTGCCCCACTTTACAGAAGGGGAAACTGAGGTCCAGAGAAAAGGGGAGACCAGGCTCAAACCAGGTGGGCTGGCACTGAACCCGCCCCGTAACCACCAAGCTGGTGCCCCTGCCATGTCATTTCCTCTCGGCGGCTGCAGCTGCTGGGGACCGGGTGTCTGCCTGCCAGCGAGGCCATCTGGAGAAAGGAGGAGGGGCCCTTGTGGTGACCTGAGCCAGGCCTCCCGACCCCAGCTGCCGGCCTCCACTCCTTGGGGAGCGTCCCAAGCTCCAGAGCCCCCCTCCGTCCCGACCCGTGGGCCTGTGGTCGGTTGGTCGGCCCAAATACCAGACAGGGCGAATCTCAGCTTTGCCTCCAACATTCCTGGTTCCCGCGGCCCAGCCAGGCTGGCTGAGGTTACAGAAGCAGAGCTGGGGGGGTGAGGGGGACCAAGGGGACGGGCTGGCCTGGCCTCACCACCCCATCGTCCGCCCGCTGCCCTCCCCAGGGCGGGGAAGGGGTGGGCCGGCTCCCTCGAGCCTGGGAGAAGGCTGTGTGTGGGGGTGGTGGCTCTGCCGAGATGGAGGGAGGTGGTGGTCACACCAGGGACTGCAGGAGGTGACTGGTTTGCACTCAGGCAGGCGAGAAGGCAGAGCAGGGCTGGCGATGGTAAGGTGGGCAGGGAGGGTCCGAGGGTGGGGCCTGCCTGGCTCTGCCCGCTGCCCACTGCTTCCCTCCCTGATGGGGGATGCTCCGGTCACCATGGCTACCCCATGCCCTGCCTGGTCACACTGAGCCTTCCCTCCACCCCCAGCAGCTGAGCCTGCTGCTGCTGGTGCTGCCACTGCTGCTGCCGCCGGGCCCCCTGCCTGTTCCCGGCATGGAGGACCCTGACTTCCCCCACCCGGGAGAGAGCTCACAGCCCCCACCCTGGGCTTGTCCCTGGCGCTGCTCTTGCCCCCAGGCTGACGTGGTGGACTGCGCTGGGCTGGACCTGCATGTGTTTCCGGACAATATCACCAGGGAGGCCCGGTACCTCTCCCTGCAGGTGGGGCTGGAGAGGGGGTCACCTAGGGGTGACGGAGAGGAGGGGAAGCAGTGTGGGAAGTGAGGGATGGGGGTGCCCATGTACAAGAGGTGGCTGTGGGCAGTGAGAGAAATTGGTAAGTGCACACCTGTCATCCCAGCACTCTGGGAGGCTGAGGCAGGACGATCACAAGTTCAAGCCCAACCTGGGCAACTCAGCAACTTAGTGAGTCCTTGTCTCCAAATAAAAAATAGAAACAGGGCTGAGGCTGGAGCTCAACACAAAGGACCTGGGTTCAATCCCTAAGAGTGAAAAAAAAAAAATTACAGGAAAGAGAAGTTAGCCTTGCTGTCAGTCTGCAGGTGGGAAGGGAAGGAGTTGGGGGTGAAGATAGTGGGGGTGGAAAGGGCTCGGATTTGGGGTCAAGATCATGGAATCGGGGTTGTTTGGGATCAATGGGCTAGGGTGTTTGGGGGTGATCGTTGGGGTGTGGCAGGGGATCAACATCTTGGCAGCTGAGGGTTTAGGGCTGGTTATGGGTGATACGGTGTTGAATCAAGGTCTTCGTGGTTGGGACTGTGTAGGGTTAGTGTGGTGAGGCATTCGAACCCCAAAAAGGAAAAATGAGGCCCAGGGAGATGGTGGGCAGAGCTGAGGTTCAGACCAGGCAGCTGGCACTATGCCTATGGGGGTTTGTGGGGAGGCAGGATCTCCAAGACAGAGTTATTTGTTTTGTTTTGTGTATGGTACTGGGGATTGAACCCAGAGCCTTTGCCTCGAGCTACATCCTCAGCCCTTTTATATTTTTTATTTTGAGACAGGGTTTTGCTAAGTGGCTAAGTTTCCCAGACTGGGTTTGAACTCGAGACCTTCCTGCCTCAGCCTCCGGGAGTGCTGGGATTACAGGCATGAGCCACTGTGGCTGGCTGGATACAGGGTTGTTCTGAGTTGACTGTGGGTGACAGACTGTTGGGTTTCAATGCTTGGCAGTCCCAAGGCTGTCCGCGGCCAGGGTGATGGGGTGTTTGGGATGACTGTGGGTGCTGGGGCTGGGTGCTGATGGGGAGTTCAGCGCTGAGGCTCAGGTCCGTGAAAGGTGAAAGTTCATCGGCGTCAGAGTGTGACTATCCCTCCCCTCCCCTCCAGAACAACCGGCTCCGGGAGCTCCCCTACAATGAGCTGTCCCGACTCAGCGGCCTGCGCACCCTCAACCTCCACAACAACCTCATCTCGTCTGAGGGTGAGGCCCTGGGGTGTGCGCGTGGTTCCGAGGTCCCCTCTGCCCTCCGCGTCCCCGCCCCCAGGCAGCTCTGAGGTGGCACTTCCCAGAAGCGGCCTCCGCTGAGAACAGAAACCTGGGCTGTGGCGCTGCGGCTCTGGGGGACGGAGGGGGCCCTCCCCGCACGTCCCTCACGGCGCCCCGCCCGCCCCGCCCCCAGGCCTGCCCGACGAGGCCTTCGAGTCGCTGGGGCAGCTGCAGCACCTCTACGTGGCCCACAACCAGGTGAGCCTGAGCCCCGCGTGCGCCCCGGGAGGGGGGCTGGCACCGCACGGGACTGGCGCTGTCGCCCCCGCAGCTCTCCGCGGCCCCGCAGTTCCTGCCCCGCTCGCTCCGCGTAGCTGACCTGGCCGCCAACCAGGTGACGGAGATCTTCCCGCTCACCTTCGGGGAGAAGCCGGCCCTCAGGTAGCCCTGGCTCCCACCCTCAGGTTCTGGGGGACCAGCGGGATGCTGAGCCTGCCCTGGGGGTCTGGGGGTCTGACGGTCCGTGCGGGGTGGGACACTCTAGAACGAGGCTCCAGCATCCTTGCGGGCATGCGCATGTGCACTCACACTCAGGACCCAGTGTGGCTGGGGGGCAGCGGGGCGTGGTGGCCGCAGCCTGGGTGCCCTCAGGTCCGTGTACCTCCACAACAACCAGCTGGGCAACGCCGGCCTCCCACCCGATGCTTTCCGCGGCTCCGAGGCCATAGCCACCCTCAGCCTGTCCAGCAACCGGTTCCGCTACCTGCCGCCTAGCCTGCCCACCTCACTGGAGCGGCTACACCTGCAGGTGCCCACCCTCGCGGCCCATCTATACCCCAGGCTGTCCTAGGGGGCCCTCTACCTTGCTTCCCGTCCTTCCATCGCCCTCCCAATTCCAACGGCAAGAACTACTTTTCTCAGAAACTCGCTTACTGCCTTGTTGGAGGCGAGCTCCTGGCCCTCCCTCACTCAAGAGCCATCTGTGGCTCCCCACTGCCCTCTATGTCAGACCCTGTGTGTCACTGTCTTCTCCCTTCTCCAGAACAACCTCATTTCCAAGGTGCCCCGAGGGGCCCTGAGTCGCCAGACCCACCTCCGTGAGCTGTACCTTCAGCACAACCAGCTGACAGACAGTGGCCTGGATGCCACCACCTTCAGGTTGGAGTCGGGCACTTATAGTCTGGCTGTCACCACTTTCACTTCCTCCCCTGCATGCCTACCCTGGGCCTTAGCTTTTATTTTTGTGGTACTGAGGATCGAACTCACGACCTTGCACTTGCCAGGCAGGCACTTATGCCGCTGAGCCTTATCTTTTGGAGTGCCTGCTCTGTATCAGGTTCAGCCTGGCACTGGACAGGGTCCATGTCCCCTACCAGTCTGCACTGAGGTTTTTTTCTGTTCGTGTCACTGGCTACTGAACCTGAGGGTACTCTACCACTGAGCTAAGTCCCCAGCCAATTTTATTTTTTGTGACAGTGTCACTAAATTGCCCAGGCAGTATACAAATGGAGGTCCTCCAGCCTCAGCCTTTCTCATGTGCAGAGGTTTTTCCTTTTCTTTCTTCATCCAGTATCATAGCTGCACGTGCATTTCTATCTGACCCAGGATTTTTTTGTGGTTACCCCCCACAGCTGACCTTCAGGCTGGAACTTGTCCTGAGCACCCCAAGTTTATGTCCCACCCTGCTCTCTCAGGCATCACCCCTGCTGAATTCTGCCTCAGGACCCCTCGCCGTGAGGTCCAGCAGCCCCTCTCTCTGGGCACCCAGCCCGACGCCCACCCTTTCTCCTGGCAGCAAGCTGCGCAGCCTGGAGTACCTGGATCTGTCGCACAACCAGCTGGCGACGGTGCCCACCGGCCTGCCCAAGGCCCTGAGCATCCTGCACCTGGGCCGCAACCGCATCCGGCAGGTGGAGGCAGCGCGGCTGCGTGGGGCCAGGGGCTTGCGCTACCTGCTGCTGCAGCACAACGAGCTGGGGGCCACGGGGCTGCCGGCCAAGGCGCTGCGCCCGCTGAGGGCTCTGCACACGCTGCACCTCTACGGGAACCGGCTGGAACGGGTGCCCCCCGGGCTGCCACGCAGCCTGGGGGCCCTGCTGATGCCCCACAACCACGTGGCTGCGCTGGGTGCTCGAGACCTGGCCTCCGTGCCAGGCCTGGCCGAGCTCAACCTAGCCTACAACAGGCTGACCAGCGCCCGCCTGCACCACCGGGCTTTCCACCGCCTGCGCACCCTGCGCTGCCTCGACCTGGCTGGCAACCAGCTGACCCGGGTGCCCGCCGGCCTGCCTGGGAGCCTGCGCGCCCTGCGCCTTCAGCGTAACCAGCTGCGCGCCCTGGAGCCCGAGTCGCTGGCTGGGTTGGGTCAGCTGCAGGAGCTCAGCCTGGCCCACAACCAGCTGCGCATCGGCGACATCGGGCCCGGCACGTGGCACGAGCTGCAGGCCCTCCAGGTCAGGAGGGGTTCCCAGACCGTCCCGACGGCCTGCCCAGCCGTGCCTTGCACGGGCAGGCCAGACACCTGCCCAGCCTCCAGGCCTCTGCCCGCTGTCCTTGCCTCCAGTCGTCCCCCAATGCCCCCTCCACCTCCCAGGGCAGACTCTGACATCCCGCTGCTCCCCGGAGCCTCCATTCCACGGAGGGGGTGCTGGGCACTGTCCTAGCGCAGGAGGCAGCTTCCGCCCCTCACCACCCGACAGCCAGGGTAGACAGCAAGCCGTCAGGGGCAAGCACACTAGCCAGGCGTGGAGAATGGGAGGCCCAGTCAGGTGGGGCCCATCTGTTGGGCTGAGTGCTGAGAACAGGCCTGCCCTGGGAAGGGCCTCAGTTTACCTCTGTGCAGTGAAGGAATTTGGCAACTGAGGAGCGGATGGAGGAAGAGGACAAAGGGGAGGAGGAAGGAGAGCTGGGTGTGGTGGTGCAAGTTCTATAATCCCAGTACAGTACTCCAGGAGGCTGAGGCAGGAGATCTGCAAGCCCAAGCCCAACCTGGGCAACTTACCAACTGACCAAGATCCTTTCTCAAAATTTATAAAGAGGTCCAGGGGGCTCAGTGTCAAGTCCCTGGGCTCAATCCTCAGTACAGGGGAAAAAACGGGTGAGGAAGGAGGCTGCAGACTGGAGAGCAGGAGGAACCTTGGGGTGGTCACACGCCGTCTCCCTGGCCAGATGCTGGACCTGGGCCACAACGAGCTGTCCTTCGTGCCCCCCGACCTGCCCGAGGCCCTGGAGGAGCTGCACCTGCAGGGCAACCGCATCGGCCACGTGGGGCCGGAAGCCTTCCTCAGCACGCCGCACCTGCGCGCCGTCATCCTCAGGTGAGGGACCAATGCCGCGAGGGGGCGTGGCCGGGAAGCCGGGGCGGGGCTGAGTGGATGGGCGTGGTGCAGCCCCCTTCACCCGCCTCTCTGCGCAGGGCTAACAGACTGCACATGACCAGCATCGCGGCCGAGGCCTTCCTGGGCCTCCCGCACTTGCGCGTGGTGGACACTGCCGACAACCCCGAGCAGGTCCTGGTCCGGCTGCCGCCCACCACCCCGCGCCGGCCCCGGGCTGGGGGCTCCTGAGTCAGCCCAACAGCCCCGAGCCCTGGGGTTCAGCAGGGCATGGACTGAGGGGACAGTGCCCAGCTGGGGCCCTACGGCCACCACCACCCAGGGTGGGGCAGAAGGAGTCAAGAGACAATAAAGCCACCCTTTCCCAGCGCTCACCTGGGACCAGCGCCCTTCTCCGGGTTCTGCCCTCTGTCACCCCCACACCCCCCGGAGTGCTAAGCGCAGCCGGAGGCTGGGTCCCGCATCCTCTCCGGGTGTGACTGGGCTGGGTTTTGGGTCCTGAAACACCATCATCTGTGCTCCAGCCTCGGATTCAACCCGCACAACGCCCAAGGCCACCTGCCGAGGAAGCGGGGTGACGCGTGCACAGACCTGAGCACCTCCTCCTCCCCCTGCCGCTCCCCGGGGGCCAGTGGGTGGGGGAGAGCCTGGCGTGACCGCTGTTGCCCTGAGTGAGAGACAGGCAGGACAGAGCCGAGCTGGGTGTGGCCTGGCTATTTATTCTGTGTCCAGGCCTGTGCAGCCCCAGGCGCCAGCCTCGGTGGCTTCTTTGGGGTATGGAGGGCTGTAGGGTTAAGGCCAGGGAGGGACAGGAGTAAAGTGCTTGCAGAGGCCCTTGGGGCTTGGTCCCCGCCGCCCTCCTGCTCTGGGGCAGCAAGGTGGGCACCCAGGGATGTGCAAACAGGACTCTGGCATGAGGGTGGAGTCCCTGGGGCCCTGCCAGGGAGGCCTGGCTGGGCTGGGGGCCTGGAGAGGATGAGTCCAGAACCGATTGTCCGCTGATTGTCCACGTGTCTTGGGTTGGTGGCCTGTGAGCTCCTCCTCTCATCCGGGCCGCCCGCCCCGCCAGGCCCTCACCTTCGGAGCCGCTGCAGCTGGGGACGACATGGGGGCCGGGTCAAGGGGCCAAGACCACTGTAAGCGCCCACCACCCACATCCAAGCAGCTCACCTCGCTCTCAACCAGGTTCCGCCGGTACAGTGCCTCCTTCGCAGCCTCCTGGGGAAACAGAGGGGCCAAGGTGGGTCAGTGGGGTCTCCCTGCTGCCCGCCCCCCCGCCGCCCTTGGGCCTCCACTCACCCTGCTGCCATCATTGCCCAGGCGCCGGGCGGCCTCTGTGTAGAACTGCAGCTGCCGCTCCAGCTGGGCCATGTACTCTGAGACGGGACATAAGGCTGCTGCCCTGCACACTGCGGCCACCCAGCCCAGCCCAGCCCAGCCCAGCCCCTGCTGGATGCCCGTCCTGAGCCCGACACTCTAGATGTCCATTCCCGAGACCCTGGCTTTCTCGAGGCTTGTCCCCAAGCCCCTACCCCTCCGGATGCCAGCTCCTCCCTGCTCTAGCTGCGCCCTCTGCCACTGGCTGCGCTGCACGATGTCTTGGTACTGCTGGGCCACCTCCGCGGGCACCGGCCGCCGCGCCTGCCTTAGGGCCAGGATCTGGGGACGCAGAGGGTGGTGTGAGTTCCCAGCCCAGGGCCACACACACCCGGGCCTGCTGTGCCGAGCCCAGAGGGTGGGGACCCACCTTCCGTTCCAGCCGCTCCTGGTCGAAGGCCAGCACACTGAGGCTGTGCAGGGGCCGGGCTGACCTGTGGGCAGCAGGAGAGACCGGGACAGCAGGAGTCCCCCTGCTTGACCGTTTCCCAACACACATGCTGGGCACTGAGGCGCAGGGCAAACGTGGGAGGCCCACCCCAGTGTCGCGGGGGCCCCAGCCTGGGGGTGGCGCTGGCTGCACACCCGAGCCGCTGTGAGGCCTGGTGGTCAGGGGGTGCTCCCTGGAGGAGGTGACAGCCGAGCTGGGACCCAGAGGACAGGGAGCAAGGGAAGGGGAGAGGTCTCCAGGGGGTCAGAACAGAGGGAAGCCAGGAGGGCAGTGAAAGCCAGATGTGGCCATGAACCCACAAGAGGGAGTGAAGGAAGAGCAGGAAGGATTGACAACGGTTAGATCACAAAAGATCTTAAAGATCAAGCTGAATAGTTCAAACAAGATGCTCCAGAGGGGTGTGGGTTTGGGAGCAGGAAAGGGCCACAGTCCAGTTTGTGCCTGAGGGGAAACTGTTCAGGAGGGCCTTCGAGATGCAGAGGGAGTCCCTCCCGTGGCGTGGCCCAGCCTCCTACCTGTTCCCTGGCTCCCTGGAAGGGGCAGGCAGGAGAGGCGCCTTCCCTTTGGGCGCAGCAACCTGCTTCGGGAGGAGACCCAGGCCTGTGAGAGCCAGTCCCGCACTGTGCTCCCTCCCGGGCGGGGGGCAGGCACTCACTGTGGGCGCGGCTGCAGGCGGGGGGTCTATGACCAGCCACCTCTCCGTGGTGGTCTCGAGCTGCTGGGCTGTCAGCGGCTCCCGGATCCTCACCATCACCTCCAGCCGCCCCCCTGTGGGCCGGCGGCCGTCCAGGACCTGCGTGGGGAGAGGGGACCCAGACATCCAGGAGCAGCTGGGTCAGCCGGGACGACAGTGGCAGGGAGGGCGTCTGCTCACCTCCAGGATCTCGCGGACCTCGCATGCTGTCTCCAGCGCGTCCAGCTTCAGCTGCGCCGTCCCCAGCACCCGGTCAGTCTTGAACAGCCCCCTGGGGGAGGAGAACAAGCAATTGGCCCCACGGCCCCGTGCCCAGCCACCCCCACGGCCGCAGCCCCACTCACCCCTTGTGGACCACTTCAAACTTGATGCCCTTGGTCTGCAGGGCCCTGCGGAAGCCGCGGTGGCTGCGGTTGATGCAGAGTTTGAACTGCTCCTTGAACTCTGGGCGGAGAGCAGGGAAGGAAGACAGAGGGGTCAGACCTGGGCCCAGCCTCCTTCCCTGCTTCAGGGCCACATGGGGTGCCCCTGCACACTCACCAGGGGAGTCGGTGTTCTTGATCACGCTGGTCTTGTCTTTCTGAGCTTCCTCCTGTGTCGGCAGAGGCAGGACATATCAGGGGCCCGTGCGCGGCCTGGGGCCCGCGTCCTAGCCTGCCTTCCTTGGCTCCCCACGTACCACATTGGGGTAGGGGAAGTCGAAGCGCACAAAGACGTCCAGGTCACCAGGGGACAGTCCTGTGGGCAAGCCCGGTCAGAGCTGAGCGGAGGGGGAGGGGCCCCCACCCCCCCACGCGCCTCCCCGAGCGCTCACCGGGGGGCGTGGGCAGGTTGATGCCCTTCAGGATGAACAGGAGCATGTCGTTGCTGCTGAGGTCCGGGAAGATCCTGGGGGGCGTGGGAAGGAAGCAGAGGCACTGCAGCCCTGCCCCCACCTGCCCTCTCCCCCTCCTTGGGCCACAGGCACAAAACCCACCCTGGCCTCCGGGGTGCCCTGTGCTTCAGAGTCAGATAAATGAGGGTTCTGTGTTCAGGTCTGCCACCGCTGAGCTCCTGGGTCCTATCTTTAATCTGCACACATTTGGTACCTACCATGCGCCAGCCACAGGGCCTGCCGCCATGAGCGCCGTCCACCCAGGGACGCGCCTACGCTGTAATAACCAGCGCTTGGGCTGCTGTAGGACCTCCCTTCACCTAATATTCCTTGAGTCCTACTAAGCGCCAGCCAGTGCCCAGCTACTGGGGACATAGAGTGAACGGAGACAGACCTAAGCCTGTGCTTGGGAGCCACTACTACTGCACCTAGCATTTGCTAGGTGTCTGTCCTAAAGACAGAGAGTTGCCAGACGGGGGCTCTAGGTGGGAGAGGTCTGGTTCACAGCAGAGACCAAAGAGCCCTACGCCTAAGAAGCCCAGCAAAGTAGGGAGAGCTGGCAGAATGAAGCGGGCAGGAACCAGGATGAGATGTGTGAGAGCCCCTGCAGGGCCAGCCGCTGTGCCCGATCTCATGCAGAGGTACCACCCTGTTCCTCAAGGCGTTGGGTGCCTTAGCAGGAGCCGGGCCCAGGGACCACCAAACTGACACGCATCTCCAGTCTCCATGGGCTCACTGGGCCGCTGGAACAAGATACATCCTCGCCCTCACCACGTCTCTGCTGCATTTCCAGATGTCTGCACCCAGCCCCTGGTGACCTGTAGCTTCCGCCTCACACCTGCCCCGGGCCTTTGCACATTCTGTGCTTCCACCATCCCCCTCAAGCCCTTTCTAGCAGAGGCAGGTGCTGCACACTTGCGGCACATGGAGCCCCAGGGAGAACTGGGGTCTTACTTGATGATGCTGAATGTTCTCTGCTCAAAGCGGGCAATAGGGGTGGGCAGACCGCGGGCAAAGGCCTGCTTCAGGGTGTCCATACTGCGCCTGCAGTCCTCGGCCAGCTTCTCGAACCTGCAGGGAGAGCAGCTCGGGTCCTGGCACAGGGGCAGGCTGGGGGCAGATTGGGGTGGGGTGGGGGTGCTTACTTGCTGGTCTCTGCGATGTTGCCCAGGTGTGTGAACTGGTTCGAGTGGTTCAGACACATCTGCAGGGTGGGCATCAGGCTGTGAGGCCAGGCACTGGGCTGGGCCCCAGGGACAGTGGCTCATGCGGCCGGGCCTCACCTCGTGCTGCTGCCTGATCAGCTTGGTGAGCTCACCATAGCGCCGGGCGGCCTCCTGTGACAGACCTGGGCCGGGCCGCTGGACCAGCGCAAAGTCGTCCTTGTTTACAGGGGCGGGCGGCACCTGTGGAGGACGAGGTTGGTGGGGAGGAGCCCGCACACAGCTCTGTGGAGATGACACCGTTCCCCGCACTTGGACCTTCTACATGGGGCTTCCACTGTGTGACACAGCAAGCTGCCACTGGCCACCTTTATGCACAGGCTGTGTCCTGGGGCTGCGCAGCAGCGGGGAGTAAGAGAGATGCAAATCCCTGCTCTGTGAGGCTGACAGTCTCCTGAATGAAATGGACAACATCCTTAAGCAACAAGTAAGCCAGTGAGTTGTGGCACACACCTGTGATCCCAGCACTCTGGGAGGCTGAGGCAGGATGATCACAAGGTTGAGTTTGGCCTGAGCGATTTAACAACACAGTTTCAAACTGAGAAGAATTTTAAAAAAGACGGGGGATGGAGCTCAGCGCAAAGGCCTTGAATCCAATCTTCAGTAGCACAGAACAAAGCAACAAAAACCCAAGTAAGCTGTAGGATAAAGCAGGAAGTGACCAATGCTACAGAGAGGAAGTGGGGAGGGAGGCAGAGGGTTCTGGGGTGAAGGAGGGATTTTTGTTTGTTTGTTTTTCCAGATAGGGTCTTGCTATGTAGTTCAGGCTGGCCTTGAACTCACTATGTAGCCCAGGCTGGCCTTGAACACACAGTGATCCTCCTGCCTCAGCCTTCTGAGTGCTGGAACGACAGGTATATGCCACCACACCTGGCAGGGGGGGTCTTAGGAGGCAGGAACAGGGCTCACGAAAATGGGATGAGTGGAGACTAAAGGAAAAGAGAAGTGAGATGAGTAGGCACCTGGGGGACAGCATTTCAGGGCTAAAATAGCACGTGCACAGGCCCTGTGGTCAACTCACGCATGGTGTCCGAGGACAGAGAGGAGGCCATATGGCCAGCAGAAAGACAGGAGGAAGTGAGCAGAGGGGACAGAAGGCAGGTGAAAGGGCAGATCATGCAGGGCCTTGTGGGCAACAATGACAGGCTGCACTGTGCGTTTCTTAGGGTCTCCCTAGCCAGAACATTTGCTTTGTGCAGGTGCGGGTTTTATTTGTTTTGCTCAAGGCTGTGTCCCCTGTGCCTAGCCCAGGGCTGGACATCTGGTACATGCTCCATGAATACTTTCTACCAGGCTGCCATTCTATCACAGAAGGAATCCCAGCTGATCTTCTATTGAGGTGCAAGTCACTATCCCTACCTTCCCAAGAAGAAAAAAAGTGATCCTCTGGGCAAACAGTGCTGCCCAAACTGGCAGGATCAGTTAAGTGACTTCCACATCGCACCCTCTTCCCTGGCTGGATACACAGCAGCCCAGTAATAGACTACATTGTCCCAGGCTCCTTTGCAGCTAGGTAGGGTCATGTAACTTTGTTCTGGCCAATGAGAAACAAGCAAAAGTGATGTCACTTCCTTTAAAGGGAACTGCTCTGCACTTTTCTTTCTCTTGCCGTGCGCTGGCACAAACACAGTAGTCACCTGCTTGGACCATGTGGGCAAGCCCCACCCCTTAGGAAGGGCACAGTAGCACAATGGAAGAAACCTGAGGCCTCCCCGCAAGACCTGCTGTTGCAGAGCACAGCGTGCCGAGTGCTACAGGCAAGAAACATGCGTGTCAGCCCCTTCTGGCTGCATCTTAAGGAGGGCCTACTTGTTACAGTGGCTTAGCCTAAGCCTGACGGATGCAACCCGCTGACCTGGAGGGCTCACCTTGGCGATGTCCACAGGCAGCCCGTTGCGAGAGGCCTCCAGCATGGGCTCTAGCCCCTTGGCCTGGCGCAGGTGCATCTTGGCACCCTCCATGTCGTTCTTCTGCTTGGCGTGCAGCGCGGCCTGCAGCAGCTGCTTCTTACGGCCCTCCAGGAAGGCCAGCTGCTGCTGGGCTGTGGGCATAGGGGCCTCTGTAGGGGCAGCCCAGCCTAGCACGCCAGGCCAGCAGGCAGCAGGGAGGGAGGAGACACTCACCTCTGGTGGACGTGCCCTTGGGGGCTGCTTTGGCAGCCCCAGGCTGGGGGGTCCTTGAGGGCGGGACCTTGGGCTGGGCTGTGGGAGCCGCAGTGCTGTTGAGCTGCTGAGGGACAGAGAAGCCAGGGCTCTCCCAGGGGCTGTGCCAACCCTTCCTCAGGTCAGAGCACACCATGACGAGGACCAGCTCAGCAGACACCCCTGCACCCACTCTCGCTGACTCTACGACAGCCTTGGAGGAAGGGCTGTCCCCGTGTCTGCTCTACGGACCACAGCACTGGGGCTCAGGCAGATGGGCCACCTGTGGTCTGCAGCCCACAAGTGGCGGGGCTGGATGTGCGGCTGGTTCTTCCTAGCTAAAGTGTGGACTTTCAAGACCCTGTGCGCCACCTCCCCAGCCCAGGCCCAGCCGCTCACACCTTCTTAGGTGCCTCATCCTCGTCGTCCTCTGCCTCTTCATCCTGGTTGGCCAGCTTCATGGCGGTCTCCAGGACTCCCACCAGGCTCTGCTGGGCGGCCTCGGGGGCCTCCAGGCCCTGTATCGGGGGAAAGCCTGGGCGGCGGTCAGGGTGCAGTCAGGATTAGCAGTACCCACACCACTGTGGGGGAGGCATGGTTGTTCCTCACCTAGGAGTCTCGGACCCTGAGTCTACTTTGAAGCCAGGGACCAGCCAGCTGGTGGTCCTGGGTCAGTCCCAGGCTATTCCCAACTACCTTCCGGCCTCTTGGCATCTCTCATTTGGCCCCAGGCCTCACTGGAATCTTAACACACAAGGCCTGGGGTGGCCTCTATGAGGATCCTGGCCTGGAAAGATCCTGAGGGTCATGGGGTTCAAGAGCAAAGAGAGAAACACTCACAGCGGACACGGAGGCAGCTCTGAGGCCCTGAAGACAGCTCCTAACCTACCAGGGGCTGGCAGAGGGTAAGTATGTGGAAAGCCAAGGCCTGATGACTGGGAAGGAGCAGATCAGACAAAGCAGGGAGAGACACGGCAGTGGGCAGACAGTCTCTTCAGAAATGGCCCTCCTTGCCAGGCATGGTGGCGCACACCTGTGATCCCAGCCGCCTAGGAGGCTGAGGCAGAAAAGGCCAGCCCAGGCTACTGAGTGAGGCCCAGTCTCAGAATGAAACCTCACAAGAGGGCTGGAGGGGTAGAGTGCTTGCCTAGCAGAGATGAGGCCCTGGGTTCCATCCCAAGTGTTGCAAGAAAAGGAACAACAAAAACTCCACTAATTTTGAGCATTTGCTGATTTTCCTGGCATAAATACTTTCGTGACGATGTGCGACAAGCTTGCATAATTCCTGCCTGTGTAGCGTGGGCAGCCTGCCCTGCACCATGAATGGGACCGGTGCCCGCAAAGCCATGAGGCTGGTACGCAGGGTTACAGGGGTGTGGCCTGTGCCCATGGGGGTGGGGCCTACCTGGGGGCACGGGCAGCTCCACCACATCCACTGCTCGGCCGGCTTTGTGGGCCCGAATGGCATCTTGGTATTGCTGCGGGGCACACAGGTGTCAGCGTGACTGGGGCGAGGTCTGGGGTTCCCCACCCTGGACCCCTAGGCACCTTGACAATACGCTCGTGCATCCGCGCCTTCCGCTGGTCACCCTTGGCTTTGGCCTGGGCTGCAGCGGCCTGGTACCTCTCCATCCGCTGCTCCAGCGCCTCCAGGAGGGTCCGCGGGGCTGGGGGAACCTCTGGGCCAGAAGGGGAAGGGCTGGGTTGGGTCCTGGCCAGGGGATTTGGTCCTCTCCAGCCTGTCCACCCCGGAGGGCCGCAGTGGCCTACCTGGCGTGGCGAGGGCCGTAGCGGGAGCTGGAGCCTGTGGTGTCTGGGATGGTGGCTCTAGGGACAGCTGGTCTGGGGACGGAGGTACAGGGCAATGAGGGGCTTGCCTGGCCAGTCTGTCCCGCAGGGCACCGTGGGCCTGGCCAGTGCGGCAGCAGAGAGGGCAGGCGGGGTTCTCACCAGGTGGAGGGGGCAGGTGGGACAGGTCCACAGGCTCCCCACGGCTCAGGGCCTCCAGCACAGCATCAAAGCTCTAGAGGAAGAAGGAGGAGAGTGGGGTGCTGGGAGCTGCAACTGAGGGGCCAGGACCTCACACACAAAATAGCCTTACACTGACCCCCAACCCTGCACATTGCTGGGGGTGGAACCCAGGGCGTTCACATTGAGCTATACCCCCAGCCCTTTTTTAATGTTTTATTTTGAGATAGGATCTTAACTAAATTGCCCAACTTTTGATCCTCCTGCCTCAGCCTCCCAACATGCTGGGATTATAGGTGTGTGCTGCTATGCCTGGCTTCCTAGTGTTGTCTTGTTCCATCTGCTTCTGAGACTTATGCCCATATTGCAGAGGAGGTAAGCTGAGGCTCCAAGAGGTAAGGTGGTGGGTTAGGGGGTGACCAAGCTGGGCTTCAAACTTGGGTCTCCTGTCTCAATGCTGACAGCACTGTGCCCCCTCCTCAGCCCTGGCCCGTAGTCTGGACGTACCTTGGCCATGCGGAAGTGTCTGGTGGCAGCTGCAGTGTCTCCCTGCTGCTTGGCGTGGAGGGCAGCCAGCTTGTACTCCCGCTGGAGGCTCTGTAACTGGGCCAGGGGGCCAGAGCCGCAGGGACCTGAGAGGGTAAATACAGTATGGGAGCCACACAGGTCACTGCTGATTGGGTCTTACCACCAAGCTAGTTCTGAGCCCATTTCAGAAATGCAAAAACTAAGGCTGGTGGTGCAGCACAGTGGTGAGCGCTGGCCTCACATGTATGAGGCCCTGGGTTCCATCCCCAGCACCGTTAAATAAATAAATGTGAAAAAAGAAAAAGCAAAACCTGAGGCTGAAAGCGGGGAGACTGCCTGCCTAAGATCACACAGCTTGAAGGTGGCGCCGTGTGGGCTCAGCCCCGGCCTGGGAGGCTGTGAGCCACTCTTGTTTTGTCCCCAAGATTCCTGAATACTTTATGTTTTGTTTTGTTTTTGTTTTTCTTCCGGTACCAGGAATCGAACTCATGACCTTGTGCTTGCTAGGCAGGCGCTATGCCACTGAGCTAAATCCCCAGCCCTTCCTGAATACTTTATGGATACGTACACATCATCAAATGGACATCTGTCACTTTTCATCTTAAGATTCAAAAGTGGTTGAGGCTGTCCCTCAGAGTCTTACGCATACTGGCATTTTAGAGAGAACTGTTAAGCCTCTCTTTCGTGGTTTTGCATGAGAGGTGGTTTCGGTGCTGGGGATGGAACCCAGGGCCAGGTACATGGTAAGCACATGCTCTACCACTGGGCCACACACCCTGAAGCCAGGGCCTTTTCACTGAGCTACACTGCTCGGCCCTTTTGTAGTTTTTCATTTTGAGACAGGATCTCACTAAGTTGCTGAGCTGCCCAGGCTGGGCTTGAACTTACAGTCCTCTTGCTTCAGCCTCCCAGAGTGCTGGGATGACAGGTGGGTGCCAGCACACCCAACTGAAGTATTTTATCTGTACGCTTCTAACTTTAGAAGAAAATATATATCAACTTTTTTTAAAATAAACTTTTAATTTACCCCAGTTTTAAATTTTTCCTGGTAATTTTAAACTCATCGACGTTTTCTTCTTCTGTCTTATTTTTTTATTTTTAAAATTATGGTAAAATATATATCACATAAAACATATCACCTTAACCATTTTTAAGTGTATAATTCAGTGGCATTAACTACATCCACCCTGCTGTGGGGCCATCGCCGCCATCCACCTCCAGGACTTTCTTATCTTCCCCAACTGTACCTCTGGCCCCCTCTGCACACCCCCTTCTCCCCTCCCCTGCCCCAGCACCCACCGTTCTAACTTCTGTCTCCAATAACTGACAGGTCTAGGCACCTCCCATAAACAGATTCATGTTACATCTGCCCTTTATGACTGGCTTATTTCACCTCCCACACTGTCCCCAGGTTCACTTATGTTATAGCATGTGCCAAAGTTCCCTTCCTTTTAAAGACTGAGTAATACGCCATGGCATGGATGGACTACATTTTGTGCACTCCCACACAGGTGGCCTGTGCCATCCTGGCCCTGCTCACCACCTACCTGGAGCCAGCTGGGGCTGAGTAGAGCCCGGGGACAAATTAGGAGTGGTAGGCAGAGGGCCCTCCAGGGCAGTCCTAGGCTCCAGGGTTGGCGGGTTGGCAGGGCCAGGCTTGGGGGGTGAGAGGTTGTGGCTAGTCACTGGGGCCTTCCCCACAGCCACAGGTGGCGGGATATCCTCCTCATCGATGGCGTTGCCCTTCTGCACGGAGGCCAGCAGGTTTTCCAGTGTCTGGGGCCAGAGAAGAGGGTGAGCTTGGGAGAGGCAGGGGCATGGCATCAGTGGTGAGGTCCCAGCCCTGTGCCCCACCGCTCACCTTCAGGCCCCGGTCGTAGCGCCGCATCTTGGCACTGTCCCCAGCCTGCCGGGCGCTTTCCATTGCTAGCTGGTAGAGGGTCAGCCTCTCCTGCAAAGTGGCCTCCAAGCCAGGGCGGGGCGCTGAGGGCTTCGGCTGCAGCAGGGGTGTGAGGACAGTCGGGGAGTGACGGGCGCCATGTCTGCCACCCCTGCCCAGCGCGAGTGCATGTGGCCCCAGGCCAGCCACCCCCAGCTCAGGCCGAAATTTCAGTCTCTGTGGGGGGAACTCACAGGTGTCATGTCACCTGCCTGAGATCACACAGCTGAGAAGGGACAGGAGAGACCCTCGAGCCCCAGGCTGTCTTTGGGGCTGTACCTGGGCCACGGGTGGTGGGGGCTCCAAAGCCTTCTGCTCCTCTCCGAGGACCTCATTTAGCTCCGCCTGTGGGCAGGGACACATGGCCGGAGCAGGACATGAGAGCCTGCCAGACGGGGATGTGGGAGCAGAGGCTGCCCCTGCCAGGAATGCTCACCAGCAGGTCATCGTCAGCCTCCACATCATCCTCGTCTGTCCCTTCCTCTTCCTCCTCCTCCGGGTCCTGCATGCACAACCTGGCCATCTTCTCTATGGCCTCCATGGGGAGCGGACCTGGTGGAAAGGGAAGGCCCTGGCTAGACCGGCATCCTCCCAGTGTGGCTACCTCCCACCCAGCCAGCAGGGTCCTCTCCTGCTCTTGTGTGGCACTCCACTGTCCCGAATGCTCCCTGCGTGGTGTCACCCCCACCCGCCTCACCAGACTCCTCTTGCCCTATCCAGCCCCAGCTCTGCGGCGGGAGCCCTGAGTTCCAAGCCCCGTTCTGCAGCTTTCTCCCTGGGGAACCCGGGGCAAGTCGCTTTCCCACTTTGGGCTTCAGTTTCCTCCCCGTTTCTTTGGGAGGGCAGTGCCTCCCTTGCTGCTAGGCTCTCGGGACTTCAGGTGAATGAAGGTCTAGAAGAGCGGTCCCCCTTGTCCACAGAGAACAGGCCCCAGACCCCATATGGCTGTCTGGAGCCACAGGTAGTAGGGAGCCCTCCCTATACCAGGGCTCTTCCTGTACGTCCCGAAGCACTGGCCCCCAGTACCAGGCTCATCTGTCCTCCTGCACTTTATGCCCTGGTGTCTTCTTTACATCACTACTCTTGAGGTCTGGGGCCATTACTAAGCCAAAAACAAAAAGCAAAGCATTACGTGAACACAAGTAGGGACAATGCTTGTGTCAGTTGATCTGATAACCTATATCCCACTCCTGTAGGGACAAGGCCAAGCTCCTGCGCATGTGCAGTTCACTGTGTGTGTGTGTGTGTGTGTGTGTGTGTGTGTGTGAGCTGCTGGGGATGGAGGAAGCTTTACTCTCTCACCTGCTGGCCACTCACCTCCTGCTATGTAGCGCTGGCCCACATGGCTCCTAAGCCACTGAAGGGAAGACAGTGTACACAGCAAGGATACCCTGGACAAAGGGACACCCATGTCTCGGCCAGGACAATATGAGAGTGCATCCCTCTCCTCAGAAAGGCATGTATGCAATTTAAAGCTTATTGTTATTTCCTGAGTTTCTATTTATTATTGTTAGACCACGGCTGGCTGTTGATAGCGGAGACCACCAAACGTGAAATGACAGTGCAGGACAGGACCACTGGATCGCCACATCTTGTCCTTCCTGTCACTGTCACCATCCAAGATAGTTCTGTTCTCTAATGTAATGTGCCCAGAAGACTGAGTCAGTGAAGATCGGACGTGCGGGCATGGGAAGTATAGGCTGAGGTTCCCATGAGCCTCCAGGCACAAAATTTTTATCAACTGAGCAGTACACAACCTTGTTTTATGTGCGTCTCTGTTTAAAGACACCTTTAGCCTGTAATCCCAGCACTGGGCGGGGGCTGAGGCAGGAGGATCACTGTGAGTTCAAGGCCAGCCTGTGCTACATGGCGAGTTCAAGACTAGACTAAATTATATAGTAAGCCCCTGTCTCAAGAAAACAAAAGAAGAAGAAAACATGACACCTTATTCAATATATATTGTTGATGTGTTCACAGTGTATTCTTAGCCAGCATACTGCGAACAAGGAAATCACCAACGAACGGCACAAAAATGAGAAACTGTGGCAGCAAATGGACAGGGGAAAAGGACCCTGGTTTCTAACACAAGAGCTGAAACAGGAAGGCAGAATGTCACCTGGTGCCACCCACCTCATGTTTCTCAAACTTTACCACTTCAAGATCTGTGAATGACCACAAATCACTGCCATTACTGATTTGGGGGTTACAAGTAAATTCTCACAAACAGGCAAACTCATAAATGTGAAATCCACAAATAACAAGGGCTGACCGCATTAGCTATGGTTAAAGGCTTCGTTTGGCGTCTGGCTCTGACTACACTCAACTACTGCAGTCTTCCACCGCCCACCGCCCAGTGCAGGGCTTTGGCACCTGCCAGGACTCCTTCTAAAAGGCTCCCCAATGCATAACCCACCCTCTGTGTCTTGGATCCTTCCTCCAAGCAGGAAGAGCCCTGACTCACAGGGCTCTCCGTGGCTCTCTGCTTCCACCATGCCAGGCCTCCTCACAGGACAGCAGTTTGCAAGTTGGGACTGACGACAACATGAATTTATCATGTCACGCAGCCTTGAAAGTGCTTTATGAATCCTAGATTAACTCCTGTGATATAGCAGTTATTCTTTCCATTTTAAAATTTATTTATTTGAGACAGGGTCTCACTATGTAGCTCAGGTTTTTTTTTTTCTGGTACTGGGAATCGAACTCACTACCTTGGCTTGCCAGGCAGGCACTGTGCCGCTGAGCTAAATCCCCAACCCCTGTAGGTCAGATTGAACTTGAATTCACTATGTAGCCCCAGGCTGGCCTTGACCTCACAGGGATCCTCCTGCCTCAGCCTCTCATGCTGGGATTAGAGGCATGAGCCACCATGTTTGGCTTTATTATTCGAATTCGAATTTTACAAGCAGAAAAACCAAGGTCAACACAGATGATGAGATGAAGAAGTGGCAGAGCTGGGATTCAAGCCCTCAGTCTGTGTCCAGAGTTGATTACTGATCCTCTCAGCCAAACTATGGGCTCTTGAAGGGCAGAGGCTTTCACTGTTTCCTTTCTCCTTTCTACCTAGCGCCCAACTCTGCCAAGGTATCTGCGACTGGCCCACAGCTGGAAATCTAAAAACATTCAGATTAAATATCTCACCTTTGCCTTTGAGCTTCTCCAGGGCTGCAGGCTGGCCACCCACCAAGGCAAAGAACTCGGCCTCCAGTTCCTCATCGTTAACTCCATCGTTGGGGATCATCAGGCCATCTGGGGAGAGGTCAACCAGCAGCCCAAGCTGTGGGAACAGTATGGGTCTAGTTAGGATGTACCATGTAGCCAGAGGCAGCCATAATGGATCCAAAGTGCCCAGTGGAAGGTAGGAACCAAAGTCTCCTGGCACAAGCTGTTTCCCTGGGGAAAGCCAGAAGGCTGGATCAAACCAAGAATCCAACAGTGTCTCAACATGGGCCTGGCTCTTTGGCACAGATCAAATGAGACAAAAGGCAAGCAGAGACTCGGCTCCCTGCTGAGAGCCTGCACGTACAATGCACTGCTAGCCAAGTTCACTGGGGAGAGTAGGCCTTACACCCGCCTAAAGTATACCTTGGCTTTTCCTCCCTGTATCCTCTGTGGAGGTGGCCCAGCAGGAGGTGGGGCATCAAGAGCAATTAGAATCCCCAACAACCTGGAAGTTGAAAGTGCCTCATGGCTCTGTAGCTCTGTCTTCCCATATTGATTAACGACCAATCATGATGTGATAATATTATGTCAAACTATGTGAAACTGTGAGGTCAGGTGTCCAAGGTGATAAGGACAGGAGAAAATACATAGACTCATATCTGGGCACTAAGCTCTGTTGTGGGGTCCCTTCATCAAAGCTACAAAAACTTAAACTCCAGCCAGTATTTGGCACAGGAGGGAAGGAGTTGGGCCACAGTCCTCTGGGATTATAGATGCAGCTCTGAATTTGCCCAGAGCTCTGGCCAGGCTGTTAAACCCTATCACCTCCGGCAGATGCCTTTACCTCTCTTGAGCCTCAGTGTCCTCATCTGCACAATGGGAATAACAGTCTGAACTGGCCCGGCAGATGCAAGGGTCTGACTGCGGCCCCTCCCTTCCTCAAGCTGTGACAACAGGTGGCTGTGAAAGGGGGGCGGGGCGCCAGCAGTTGTGGGGTCGGGCAGGACCCCTAGGCCGCACCTTGGGGAGCAAGACTCATTTAGGGGGCAGACACTGGCGGGGGGCGGGGGGGAGAGATCGAGTGACCCTGCGGGGTGGGGCCCTCCCCAGCGGGTACAGGGTGTGGAGACGAGCTCCCCGGTAGGTCCGCAGGGCGCACACTCACCTGGCGGGCGGCAGCGGCGCCTCGGCCTGGGGGCCCCGGGGGTCCCTTCCTCTTGTGCATTTTCCAGCCTGGATGCCCAGACCACCGACCCCTGCGCCTGGCCTTGCCCTATCTCTTCACTCTGGGACTGTCACTCGCGCCCTTCCTCAGTCCTGGGCCCCTCTTCGGTGTCCCGCGTCCGTCAATCCCTCGCCCCCGTTTCCCGGGGTGGCTGTCCCACTTCCGCCTTGGCCTTTGGTCGCCGCCGAACCTGAGCGCACCACCTCTGGACTCGCCGGGCCCTTCTCGTCGAAACTACACCTCCCGAAAGGCCTTGCGCGGATACGCATGCGCCTGATGGAGGTGCGACAGGAGCTGCCACAGGCTGGGTGGAAAAGAAATAGAGCATGCGTAGATGTGAGCCTCCTCAGCTGTTATTGCGCGTGCGCGGGGCGGGACAGGGCGGAGCGCCGCGGTGCGCGGGAAAGAGGCGGGGTGCGCCTGAAAGAGGCGGGTGCGCGTAGGTGTGAGGGCTCAGGTGGCCCGGGATTTTCTGAGCGTGTGTGTACGCAAAGCCTTTGGCCTCGCCTGGGCTCCTGGGCTGGGGAATCTGCACCTTCCGGTGGTCGTAGTTTTAGTGTGGGGCTGGTCTCTAGGACTTGGGTCCACAGTTATGGGCCTTTGAGGGAGGTGGTCACTGCGATCCCGAGGGCCAGTGTTGCCGTTTCTTAAAAAAATACAAACAAAACACCGGGCGTGGTGGCGCACGCCTGTAATCCCGGCACTCGGGAGGCTGAGGCAGGAGGATGGTTGCGAGTTCAAGACCAGCCTGGGCTACAAAGTTAGCTCAAGGCCAGCCTGAACTGCATAACAGACCCTGTCTCAAAAAAGATTAAAAAAAAAAAAAAAAAGTAACCGTAATTTACAGTAATTTATGTGACTTATTCCTCGCAGATCCACGCAGACCTCGTTCCTGCTAAGGACAGAGAGGAGGGACTTAGACAACTTTCTGTGGCCCAGGTCGGTTGGGGCCCCTCTGGTCCCCAAGGCAAGAAGAAGCCGGCACTGGTGACCCCTGGCCTCCCAAGTCCCAGGCACCCCCAGTGGACCCTTAGGTCTTCAGATACTTCTCCAGCGGAGTCCTCACATGTCCCCGGAAGGACCCAGGACACCCCAGCCTGGAGAAGGGGACGTCCACTGACCTGCACCAACCCAGCAACGAGCGCCGGCGTCCCCAGGGTGCCCCATAGCATGGAGGGATGTTCCTTGTGTCCCTGAGCCCACTGCCCCCCGGGGTCAGCCAGATGGGGCTGGCGGAGGTGGCACCCCTGTCCTCAGCCAAGGCCGCTGGATACACACAGGGACGGGGCCTGCTTGTCATAATGGAGATTCTGTTGTTTTCAGATTTCTCAAGGGAGAGATAGAAATGAGTAAGAGGAAGAAGCCTCGAACCACAGGTATTTGATTAAGTTGGCGTTTTTTTCTTTCCTTTTTTTGGTGCTGTGGATGGAACCGTAGACCTCACTTATGCTTAGGTAAACATTCTGTCCAGCCTCAAGTTGGCACTTTTTTATTTTATTTTATTCTTTAAAGAGACAGGGCCTCACTGTGTTGGCTCAGGCTGGCCTCAAACTCCTGGGCTCCAGTGATCCTCCTACCTCAGCCTCCTGATTAAGACAGCCAGGAGCTGATTTAAGTCAGTACTTCTTGATTACTGCACCTGCTCATAGGAGGGTTGCAGGCCTATATGTTGCAGAAATGCTAACCTGACTGCCTCAGTGTCCATAAAAAAAAATTTAGTACAAATTACTAGGAAAAATACAAATTATAGACAAGGGCATAATGCTGTAAAAAGTAGTTTTTTCACCACCGTGGGTCCCAGCTGCACCGTATAGCACATCTTGATGTGCTTCAAGGCTATCTGCTGTGTGGCTAAGTGTTTCACTGTAGGGCTAAAAATTTTTGTTTATCCCAGCTCCTCTGCTCACTTCTTTTCTTTTCTTTCTTTTTTTTTTTTTCTTTTGTGATACTGGGGATTGATCCCAGACCCTTTGCACTTCCCCAACCAATTTTTAATTTTTTACTTTGAGACAGGATTTCAGATTGCTAAATTACCCAGGCTAGGGTTGAACTTTGTATCTTCCTGCGTCAGCCTCCTGGAGTGCTGAGACTCCAAGCATGTGCCACTTCCACCAAGTAGATGTAATTTTTTCCCCAAAGATTTTCTGCCGGTGATTGGTTCCATCTGTGGATAGGAACCCGCTTACACGGAGGGCTGGCCGTGTGCAGAGCCAGTGTTTTTATTGGAAGATGGAATGCTCACATACTCTAGTAATCTGCACCTTGCATTTTTTGTCAGTATATTGTGATCAGTTTTGTTAGTGTACTGTATGTGTAGGATTTCTTCACCTGCGGGCTAGGATGTGGCTCAGGGGTCAGTGCTTGCCTAGTATCCACCTCCAAAAAAAAATCTTGAAAAACAGCCAGTATTACCTGGGGAGGCTTGACGGTTTCCCTGTCATTGTCTAAGTTAATTTAAACTCCTTAAAGAGGTAGAAGTAACTTCTTTACTTAGCAAGTGATAAATGTAGAGTGCTGCTTCTGTTTTCCCTAAGATGTGGAACAGAAGAAATGTTAACCAATAAAACATGTTTTGTGCAGAGATGAGGCACAGGCTGCCTGAGACACAGGATGTCTCTGACCTCCGAAGGGAGATCTGGGGACAGCCAGGCCCACCCGTGACAGGTCTTCTGGGGCCTCTCTTGGCTCAGTGGACTGTGGGCTGGCCCTGAATTGTGTGACCACAGATGGGCTGGGAAGGAGGCCTTTCCCTCGGTGTCTGTAGCCTTTGGTGTTGAACACAAGGTTCTGCCTTATTTTTTCCTACATTAGTCCCACAGGGCAGATTACAGGAAGGAAATGGGAGGCACTCTGCTCTGTTGATATTTTGCTTTCTACTTGCTACAAATGTCCATTGAAGCAGCCAAGCAAGCTAGTGTTTGGGGATCAATCTTAAGGAACCGAGTAAACAGAGCTGCTCTTTTCTTTTGCGTTTTTCTGGCAGACCACCAGGTGAGAAGCGGTTGTGTAAGAAATGTTCATGAGGTACTCCCCGGGGGCACAGTGCTTGCTGGCTGTGGGCCTAAAGGCGGGAGCCTCCCTTCCAGCCCTGAGCCCCTTGAGGCCCATTTTGTGGGGAAGGAAGATGCTTCTCATGGAGACAGCCAGCCAAGTAGTTGGTGGTGGGGTGCAGTTCTAAGTGGGCACACATGAAGGGAGAATCAGAATTGGGAATGACTAGGGGCTGGAGGTGCAGCTCAGCTGCCATCCCAGCCACTCCAGAGGCTGAGGCAGGAGGATCATAAGTTTGAGGTCGGTCTGGGCAACTTGGTGAGAACCTTTCTCAGAATAAATAAAAAGGGCTTTGGGAGTGTAGCTAACCTAGTGTAGGAGTGTAGGTGCCTAGCACCTGTGAGAGCCTGGTTCCATCTCTAGTAATGTGATTATGCGCACATGTGCACACACACACACACACACACACACACACACACACACGAGATGTTTAAGTGTGTGTCAGGCTGAGGTTGGAAAGAATTTCTTAGACTGAACTGCAGGAAGCATTGTCCGGGACTATTCATTTTTTTTGTTCTCTTGCCTAGTCAGAAGCCCAGTCCACAGTTGGTGCTCCATAAATGCCCCAGGACTCTTCAGTCTGTGGGTTGGGCATTGAAGTGGAGCCCAGTCTTGGTTCTGTGACCTCATCTGTAAGATGGTATCAGAGCTTCTTTACCTCAAAGTTTCACTGAAACCCACACAAGTTGCTAGTTGTGGTGGTTGCACACCTACAATCCCAGCACTTGGGAGTCTGAGGCAGGAGGATTGCTGCAAGATCAAGCCCAGCCTGGGCTACGTAATGAGACCCTGTCTCCAAAAAAAAAAAAGAAACACAAGTTACGACAGGGTGTCACTGTGTAGTTCAAGCTGGTCTTAAAATCATGGCAGTTCTCCTGCCTCAGCCTCCCAAGTGGTGGGACTATAGGTCTGTACCACCACACTCAGCTGTTCTTTTTTTTTTCTCTTTTTGTGACAGGGTCTCACTATGCAGTTCACGCTGGCCTTGAGCTCACTTTATAACCCAGGCTGGCCTTGAACTCACACGATCCTCCTGCCTCAGCCTCCCAAGTGCTGGGATTACAGGTGTGCGCCACCACGTCCGGCTTCAGCTGTTTGTGCTTGAACACAGGAGTATGTCAGGCCAGAGCTGGGGCTGTCTCCCAAGCCAACCATGGTTGCAGTTTTTGCATAAAGGGATTTCTTTCATTCAACAAATACCTATTAAGAAGCCCTGTTACTTTATTTTTACTTTTTTATTTTCTGCAGTGCCGGTGATGGAATTTAGGCCTGTACATGCTAGGAAAGCTCTCACCACTTAGCTGAGCCCTGGCCACAATAACCACCTTGAGGCTGTCACAGGCTTTCAGTGGTGGAGAAGGGACTGAGTGGTGGCAGAGGCAGCCCCCCAGTTCCCTGTGCCTGTCTGCCGCACTGTCCCACACAGCTGTTCTGCGTGTGTCACTGGAAATGGACATCGAGTATGATTCGTGTTGTCTGCACTTGGGGATGGTGTTTTCTGTGTGCATTTATGTGGTCAACTGTGCACTTAATTGAGCAAGCAGTTTCCTTAATGTCCCTTAGCCACTTGGGGCCAGAGGAAAGCAAGAGGCTGCATGCAGCCAATGGTACCAAACTTCAAGCCTTCCCGAAAAGCCATGGAGTGATTAGGAGAGAGCCAGGGCCGGGACAGGGAGACTCTATAAAGAAGCCAGAGGTGGCCTCTCATACCTGCCACGCACCTCTCGCCCTTTTGGGATTCTAGTGCAGTCCTGGCACGCGTCAGGATCCCTGAAGCATATGGCCGCTTCAGTGAATAGCTCTAAGCCCCTGGCTGGGGCGCCTGCATCCCTCGCCTGGCACATGAATGGCAGAGTGGGTCCCAGGCCGAGGATCCTGCCTGCTCACGCATAGTGCACCAACGGCCCTGCCCTGTCCAGCTGTCAGCTGTGGGTGACAGTGCATGCTCCTGGCACCCCTACCCCTTGGTCTCTGTCTCCAAACCAGGAATCCATCCCCCCAAACCTCCCAAGAACCCACGGCTTGGAGACTCTGATGGGGACTCCCGAAGTTCCAAGCTGGGCGGCTTGCGTCACCCCGGTGTCTCAGAAGACAGCCTGACACCTGCCGCCCCTACGGAGCCCAGCAGACAGGAGCCAAGGCCGGCTGTCTCCAGGTGGGTGGCTCAGGTGTTCCAGCAGGCCTCTCATGCGACAGTGGACACAGCAGCGGGGGACCCTCCTGGGTTCAGGGCTATGTGCCTATTGCTGTGGGCTTTCCTCACTGTGAGAAAGGTTGTGAACCTCAGGTATAGACAACAGTGAGTTGTTCAAGGTCCCAGAGTGCAACCTGATACTCTGCTGTCAAATCCGTACTCTTCCATTCCTTCTCAGTAAAAAAGGGATGAGCCAGTTGTGTCTGGTGGTGCAATTCCATAATCCCAGCACTCTGGGAGGCTGAGGCAGGAAGGCTGCAAGATTGAGGCCAGCCTGGGCAATTTAGCAACTTGGTCAGACCTGTCTCAAAACAAAAACAATAAAAAGGGGCTGGGGATGGAGCTCAGTGTAAGGGTTCTGAGTTCAGTTCCGTTTTCAAAAAAAAAAAAAAAGAAATACAGTGTTCAGTGGGCAGTGTCCTAATGAGCACTTTATCAATATTAACTCATCAGATCAAGGCACTGTGAAATAAACTTTTGTTTTTGTGGTGCTGGGATAGAACCCAGATAGGCAAGTACTAGGCAAGTGCTCTACCTCTGAGCTCCACTCCCAGCCAGGGGGTGAGTGTGGTGGCGCATGCCTACAATGCCAGCACTTGTGGAGGAGGCAGGAGGATCTCTGAATTTGAGGCCAGCCTGGGCCTCAGATAATGATGGTCAAGTCCAGCCTAAACTATGTAGCCAGACCCTGTCTCAAGAAACCAATAATCGAGACTCTGTCTCAAAAAGACCAAAAAAAAAAGAAAAAAAAAATCTTGCTAGCCGGGCGTGGTGGCACTCGCCTATAATCCCAGCACTTGGGAGGCTGAGGCAGGAGGATCATTGCGAGTTCGAGACCAGCGTGGGCTATAAAGTGAGTTCAAAGCCAGCCTGAACTGCATAGTGAGACTGTCTCAAAAACACACACACACACAAAACAGAAACCAGTAATAACAGTAACAAAAGATGCAAAGTGACAGTGTAGGAGGACCTGGATCCCTTTCCATTGTCTTTCTCTACCCAGCTTCCCTGAAGAGGAAACCACAGCTGCCTCCTTTCTGGGGCAACTAGAAAAAGAAGCTGCTCTCCTTCCCTCTTCCCAGGTAAGCCACACTGCAGGCTGCTGTGTGTCTGGGAGACGCTCCAGAAGTGCAGGTTCTTGTGTGTCTGTCGTGGGCGGCCACTGGCCTGCGGGCTGGAGGGCCGTGCACAGAGGGGAGGGCAGGTGTCAGGCTGCAGGGGGGAGTGGCTCGGGCTTGCTTTTTTTGAGACATTCTTCTTTACCCTTACTGCTTTGTTCGCCTGTCCCTTTCACAGACCTCACTTGGGAGATTTGTCCCTCAGTTTGCAAAACCCAGGAAGACAGTGACAAGAAAAGCAGAGACAAGGGAAGAGGATCTGGAGAGGAGGGCTGTTAGCCTGGTAAGACCTTAATGTGGGCCTCGCCAAATCCCATGTGCAGGCGGCCTCTGTGCCCGGTTTAACCTCAGCTGTCTTGGCAATGAGCAGCTCTGCTGGGGCCGCGCATACATAGGCCAGAGCTCTACCACTGGCCTATACCCCCAGCCTTTTTTTTTTTTTTTGAGGCAGGTTCTAGCTCACTTGCCCAGGCTGGCCTTGAACTTGTGATCCTCCTGCCTCAGCCTCCTCAGTCACTGGGATTGTAGCGTGTACCACTACAGAAAGCCCGAGCCCCCCAGTATACTGCTATCCGGACGCCTGTAGCATGTGCCCTGGATGTTGCATGTGCCCATATGGGGTGGTAGAACCCCGAGAGGCAGCCATTGCTCTGTCCCTGAGCCCTCTGCTTTTGGGAGGCCTTTGTGCCACTCAGATGTCCTTGCTATCATGAACTGCAGGAGTCACAGTGTCTCTGAGCGCGTGGGTGGTAATGGCCACACACTAGGGACACCCCAGGTACCTTCCCGAGGATCTACAGTTGAGTGAACCACGGTTCATCTGTGCCCTGGACCAGGACTCAGCAATATAAAGCAACAAACTAGTTAGTGACACAGAAAATGTGCAGGTCGGATGAGAGGTTGCCAGGGTCAGAGGCAGGATGGGCAGGGCACGCGGGGACGGGTGCAGCTGGACAGGGTCCCTGGGTGACTGTGGTGATGGAGACGCAGCCCTCCATGCAGCAGAGGAGCGCGCGGAGCGACCACACGCCGAAGTGGGCCTGCGGCTCCGCGTCTGAGTTTGAACCAGTTCTTACCACCACGTGAACCTGCAGCAGCCACACAACAGGGAAGTGGGACTTCACAGACGGAGGAGATCGGCGTCATTGTGCGTCGAAGCTGTGTGGGAGAGGAAATGTTGTATTTTACCACAGTTTCTTTCCTTTTGTATTTTATTTTATGCTGTGCTGAGAATGGACTCTAGGGCTTCACAAGCTACATCCCAGCCATCTCCCCTGCCCTCCCATCTCCCTGCCCCCTTTTTTTTCTGCAGTGCTGGGGACAGAACTAAGGGAGCTTTGAGCTATATTGCCAGCCTTTTTTTAAAAAAAATTTTTATTTTATTTATTTATTTTTTTGTCTTTTTGAGACAGGGTCTCACTATGCAGTTCAGGCTGGCCTTGAGCTCACTTTGTAGCCCACGTTGGCCTCGAACTCGAACTGGTCCTCCTCCATCAGCCTCCTGAGTGCTGGGATTACAGGTGTGTGCCACCACACCTGGCCCTTTTTTTATTTTTTATTTTGAGACAGGGTCTTGATAAATTGCCTAAGATGACCTTGAATTTATGATACTCCTGCTTCAGCCTCTTGAGGAGCTGGGATTATACCTCACCTGGCTCAGTTATTTTTCAATGGTATATTTTATTTAAATTGGTATGTTAAAAATACTGTTTCGCCAGGTGTGGCACACGCCTGTAGTCCCAGCACTCAGGAGGCTGAGGCAGGAGGATTGTTGCGAGTTCGAGACCAGCCTGGGCTACAAAGTGAGCTCAAGGCCAGCCTGAACTGCATAGTGAGACCCTATCTCAAAAAGACCAAAACAAAATACCACTGTTCGAATATGTGATTGCTTTTTAATTATCTAGAATTCTGGGGATGAAAATGCTTCCTGTACTGCTAAGCTGCACCCCGAGCCCCTACCACCTGGATTTTTACACCCCAAATCTTGCCGAGGGCTTGGCACCCACAGGGAGCAGAACCTGGTGGCGGGAGAGGTTCAGTGCATCCATTCCATTTCCGGTTCCTCGTCCAGCAGCAACGCAGAGCCCTGCTGGGTGCCCATGGGGGTGCATGGTGTGGTGCAGGGTCTGCATGTTGGGACTGGCGCAGTACCAACCAGAGAAGCCTTCAGAGGGCTCACGACGGAGGCTCCAGGGCTAAGTTTCTCTCTCTTCACAGGAAGCCTTGCCCAACCCCAGTGCCCCAGGGCTGCTGGAGGGATCCCCGGGCCCAGGAGATCAGATGCCATCAGAGAGCCCCCACCCTGAGCAGAGTGGCCAGAAGCCCAGGACACCTGTGCCTGGAGAGGGAGCAGGATCCTCTAACTCAGAGGTGGCCAGCCAGGAGCCAGTGTCGGAGCAAGGGACCAGTGCTTTGGATGGCGGGAATGCGGGCAGCAGTGGGCCTGAGAGGGCACAGGGGCCAGGCAGTCCGGAAGGGCAGCTGCCTTGCAGTGGTGCTGAAGGGACGAAGCCAGACCAAGGAGCCCCCCAGGAGGGTGGTGCCCAGCATGGGACCCCAGAAGGAGGAGGTGGCATCTCCAGCGCCCCTGTGCCTGCTCCCGCCTTGGCCACACCATGCATGAAGGCCTGGACTTCAGCCCAGGACCTCCCAGACCCCAGGCAGACACCCAGAGGGGCAGGCGGGCAGGCAGAGTCCTGCCCATTGGGGACCACAGTCACAGACAGCACGGACAAAGTTGCCCCAGAGACAGAGCAGGAGGCCCTGGGGGTGGCCAGCCCAGGTACGCAGGCGGACACCCAGCCCTCTGCCTCTCCCAGGGAGCAGACCCCCCAGGGCTGCATGTCTCTGTCTGAGGAGACCACAGGGGGCAGGGGAAAGGCAGGGCCAGAAGATAAGCCCCCCAGTGACACCCCAGGGAGCCCTGCAGCCTTTCAGGCTGTGGTTCCAGGAAACCGAGGACCCGCTCTTGATGCTGAAGACCCTGGCCACCCAGCACCGGACCTGGGCCCAGGTGTTGATCAGAGCCAGGTGCCTGGCCCTGCGGTGGAGTGGCCAGGAAGGGCACAGCTCGGGGATAGACAGGCAGTGGAGTCCGGCAGCCAGCACTTTGAAGGAGGCCACGTGGGGCTCAGCCTGGCCCTCCTTGCCTTGCATCCTCTGGAACACAGGGATGCCACCAATGGCCCTTTCTGGGAGGCCAGTGCCCACCAGGGAAGCCCGAAAGCCCCTACACCCCCACCAGACCCACTCCAGCACCCTCCGGACTCTGCAAGCCAGGCCGGGTGGCCAGAGTCCTCAGCCATGGAGCTCGACTTCCTGCCCGACAGCCAGCTGCAGGATGCCCTGGATGCCCCCGACTTGGAGGCCCCACCTGAGCAGGTAAGAGCTTCCCTGTGACAGTGACTGACCGTCCTAGGGCAGGTGCCAAGTAGCTGCGAGCCCTCTTCCCACACTGCCCACTGTGCAGGGAAGATGGGGCTCACACGTGGTGATCACAGGCCCAGACACAGGTGGGTGGGATGACAGGCGTGTGCTACTGTACCTGGCTGAGTCACAGCTTTGATGGGTGTGACATCTGGTTTTGCAGGCAGGATAGAGCTGTCTTTCTATAAGGTCCAACCTGTATGGTTGCTGAGCGACCTGGGATAGTGACAGTTGGGCACTTTTGCCACTGTGAGGCCTCCCCTGCCAGAACTATAGCTCTTGGGGGTGCCAGCGCCTGGCAGCTTTGTGTCCATCTGCTGCCGCCCCTGGCCTCTCACCCGTGGCTCCAGGCTCCTGCAGAAGTATTGAAGGCATGGGACTAAGAGGGAGACTTAAAGAAGCAAGCGGTCTCCTCAGCTGGCCTGGGGAGGGGACTTGATTCTTGACCCGGAAAAGAGCTGTGTCCCCCAGCTGGGCACAGGCCTATTTCTAGCACTCTTGGGAGGCTGAAGCAGGAGGCATTGTGAATTCATGTCCCTCCTGGGCAATTTAGTGAGAGACCTTTTAACAAAATAAAGTAATAAAGGGGTCGAGGTGTTGCTCGGTGATAAGAGTAGGTACCTCAAACGCCTGTGGCCCTGGGTTCCCTCCGCAGAACTCCCCACACACAGACCCGTGGTCCCCCTTCAGGTTCAGCTGGGGGCCTGAGGAGATCCTGTGGTAGGCACACAGAACTAACTGTGTTTCTCTGCCAGCATCAGGAAGGGCCTTGCTTCCTTGGGAGGCTGCCTGGATGCTGTCTGCCCTGGCTACCAATCCCGAGCCAGGCACTTGCCTCACCTCTCAGCGTAGGTGGCAGCCTGGCTGCAGCCTTATTTCCTGGGGGGATGTGTGACGCACCTGGCTGTTGGCACACCTGAGTCCGGTGAAAGCTTCCCAGTGCACCCTGGGAGGTGGGCCTACCCTCCCCACACGCGGGTGGCACCAAAAGAGGTCAGGTGCCTGCCCCAGGGGAGCCAGCTGGCTGGGTGTCCCGTGTTGGCAGCTTCTGGTGACCTCAGCCACCTGTCCTGGAACATGAGCCCAAGGCTTCCAGACATTGGCCAGTGTCTCCCTGGCTATGTGCTGGCCATCCCTGTCAAGGCTATTTTTATACTTTTTGCAAAGCTGCAGCTGGAACCCAGGACCTCATGCATGCTACGCAAGTGCTCTGTCACTGAGCCACACCCCCAGCCAGCCTGTTGATACCATTTTTAAAAATCATTCAGTGAATATTATCATTTTGTGGTTCTGGGGATTGAACTCAGGGTCTTCACATTGAACTACATGCCTAGTTTTTTAAATTTTGAGACAGGGTCTCTCTAAGTCACTAAATTGTCCAGGGTGGGCTTAAGTTTGCAGTCCTCCTGCCTCAGCCTCCCTGAGGGCTGGGATGACAGGTGTACACCCCTATGCCTGGCTTGCATGCGTATAACGGAGGGCCTGCCTTGTGTCAGCAGTGACGACATCAGCGACGGCCTCTGCCCTCATTCCCAGATGTGGCCTCACTGGGAGCTTGGTGTACAGTGCCATTCCTTCTCCTAGAGGGGTTTTCCTAAGACAATCCCACAGCTGCACGCAGGCAAACAGTTTCATGCCGTGCACCTCTGAAGCAATGCCAGCTAGCGGCTGGGGCACTTGCCTAGCACGAGTGAGGTCCCGGGTTCCATTCCAGCACTGCAGAAAAAGAAAGGAAGAAAGAAAGGGAGGGAGCGGGGAGGAAAGGAAAGAAAGAAAAAAAAGCCAGCCAGGCCAGTACAGCCAGGGCAGGCAGCCCAGCCGCCAGACTCCAGCCAGCGTGGTGCTCATGCGCACTCACTCAATGCTGGTGTCCCAGAGCGAGTCTGGGCGGCCAGAGTGGCCCAGCCGGGGAGCAGGTTCCCATGGGAAGGGAAGGCAGGGGCAGGGACTACTGCGAACACAGCAGAGGTGGACAGCGAGCAGACACCGTGACCTCACAGTGGTGTCGCCACACAGCCAGTGTCAGGGCGACACGCGGAGTCACCCATTCACACCAGCACAGCCTCCTCATAGGGTCTGGTGCTGTCCCCGCCACTCCATGTGTGCCCTTCGTCACGCACAAGGTGACCCAGGCGGGTGCGATTAGGGCAGAGTGCTCCCCCAGTGCACTCTAGCCCCAGGTTCCATCCGCTGAAGGGAAGCTGATTCCCAGGGCCCTCCTGGGTCCTTGTCACGCACTGGTCATCTGCAGCCAGGGTCCTCAGCACTTTCAGCACCACAGCTACTGTCGCTGGATGTGGGACATGGGGCGGTGTCTGCAGCCACAGAAGGGCCCCCAGCGGGGTCCCAGCCTTCCCTTCACACTGGTATTGGGGGACAGACCCTTCTCTGCTTGGGGCCATCTCCTGGGCTGCAGCGGCAGCCTGGCCTCTGCCCTGCTGGTGTGCTGCTCAGATAGTTCGGAGTGTGTCCCAGGGCACGGAGGCTCCCCCATGTTTGTTCTCTTGGATTCAGGGTCCCTTCCCTCTGCTGTACTGAGTGGCTGTGTTCAAGGACCTCCTCGGAACAGCCTCCTTGCCAGGCACCGACACAGGAGGATCCCAAGTTTGAGCCCAGCCTAGGCAACTTAATAACTTAGTGAGACCCTGTCTCAAAATTTTTAAAAAAGGGCCCCGAGGTGTAGCTCTGTGGGAAAGCCCTGGCTTCAGTCGCTAGTACTGTATTACCAAAAAAAAAGGCAGGACACCCAGGCTCCACAATCTTAGGGACCCAGAACTCAGTGAGTCCCCACTCCATCAGTGTAGGCTCGTCTGGAGCCCAGGACCTGAGGTCTGGGTGAGGCCTCAAGAGGAGAAGGAGCAGCTGTCTTAGCTGTCGCAGGTCCTGTATGTCCACTTCCGTGTCCCCAGCGCAGCGGAGGCAAAGTTGCCACCCCTGTCACCTCAACTTCTTTCCTACGCCCAGTGGGGCCACTCACCCCTTGCACTCTCTCCCTCCAGGATGGTCCCATAGGGAATGAGTCAGGCCTCTGCTGGCCTGGCCCCAGCCCTGGTGCCAGTCAGGGAGACCGAGTCCTGGTGGCGGAGGCCCCACCAAGGTAGGTGTGGGGTAGGAGGATGCATTCCGGTTCTCCCTGCTAGGTTCCCAGTCCTCATCCACAGAGCAGCGGGGCCTGGCATTCAAAGTGTCCATGTCCCCCTGTGTCCCAGAGTGGGACAGGTGAACAGCGATCTGTACCTAGACCAGCAGCGCTAGGGCCCTGGGATGCTGCCCCTTGCTGCAGGTGGTTCTGGGAAGAGGGGGTCTTCTAAAAGAGGGCTCCATGCTATTCTTGAGCCCCCAGGGGCAGGAAGGGACCCAGACAGTGCTCACACCGCAGGTGGAGGTAACTTGGGGCTGGGCCTAGCTCTGTCCTGGGCAGACACTCCAGTGGCCCTGACCTGTTGTGTCACCTGTCCTGGCTGCTGGCTGTGCACAGCCATGGGGCCCTCCGCCCTCCAGATGTGCACGTGCGTGTGCGTGCCTTCCCCGCTCACCAGAGTCTCCACGGTGTGCCCCTCCTCTTGGGTCTGCCCTACCTGACCCTCCACCAGGGCCAGCACAGGGCTGGTCGCATCCTCCCCACTGCATGCACTTGAACCTGTCTCCCCTATCAGTCATTCATGGCCAGGCTTCTGTCGCCCTTTGGTGGGTGTGGGGAAGGGGTTTTGCACAGTCCCGGGCTGCTTTGCGCCCACCCCCAAGCAGAGCAGCCGCGCCCCAGCCTCCACACCTAGTTCCCCTGATACCATTCTGTCACCAGAGCACTTGCACCCAGCGTTTGGGTGCAGAAGGCACTCTGGGCACAGTGGCCGCTCCACATTTGAGCAGAGTGGGCAGATGTCACATCTGATTCTCCCGGCAGCCTCCCTGGGCCTGTGCCACTCTGCTGGCCTTGGATGTCCAGGAGCCCTGGGGAGGGAGGGTCCTGGGGCCTGGCAAGTGCCCAAGGGAACGCACATGTGGCCTACACCCAGGGCAGCTAGTGGCTCATGGTAACCAGGCCAGGTGTGGCAGAACCAGGATCTGCATAGGGACCACCAGCCTGCGTGAGGGCAGTGACAGGGCCACCCGGCTCATGGTCCTGGGGAGGCGTGATGACAGCAGCTGGTGGGGAAGAGGTTGGATAAGCAAGGCCCCAGCAGCCCAGGGGCAGAACTTGGCAAGGCAATTACGTGGAATTGGTGTGGCTGGAAGGAAGACGGGGTCCCTGTGGTGTGGACATGTGGTACCCAGTTCTGCCCTCCCAGCCACGGGTGCTGCATGGGGGTCAGGCTGCAGGGACAGGAGGTGAGGGATCTGCAGTGACTGCGGCACTGCAGAGCCGCAAATCCCAGGTGTGCTCCAGCTGTGAGGGTTGGCACACTGCACATCTGGAAAGCTCAGGGACTCAGGCTGGGGATCGCCTGGACAGTGGCAGGAGGCTAACTTCCTCCCTCCCCCCACCCCAGGATGGAGGACGCCTCCGACACAGTTCGTGGCCTCATCGTGGAGCTCTCTAACCTCAAGTAAGGGCTGGGCTCAGTCCCTGTGATGTGGTAGGGGGCACGGAGCCCTGGAGGCATGGGGAGGCCTGGGGGCTCCGAGATAAACCAAGGCAGGACTCCTGCACGAGGGCATTGCGGGGCAGGAGCTCACACACAGACCCTGGCTGTCTGGGAAGGGCAGGACAAGCCTGGTGGTGGTGGGGTAACAGGTGACCAGGTATGCACGTGGAGGTGCGGTGACTAACATGCCCCTGACAGCACATGTCCGTCATGCCCCCAGCCGGCTGATCATGAGCGCTCACCGCGACCTAGAAGCCTTCAAGCGCCTTGGCTCCAGGAAAGCTCGGCCTTCACCCTGTCTGGCCAAGGGGGCTGGTGCCATGTCCTGGAGGGATCTGTAGGCTTCTCTGCCATCCTGTTCTTCATCTGCTCCACCTGGTGTTTTGTTTACAAGATGCTCCAGGAGTTCCTAGAAATGACTCCCACGGGCTGGAAGCCAGCCTCCTAGACAGCAAACCAACCCCCCCCCCGGGTGGGTGGGGCCTCCTGTGGGGGCCCAGCATAGGCAACACCCTGAAGCCCTGGAGAGGCATATGCCGGCACTCCAGAGGTCAGTGAGACCCGCATCTAAGGTTTGTCTGATTTGTAAAAGGTTAGATTTGGAATTTCTCTCCTGGAGGAGCATGGGACCCTTTGTTGGGTGTATCTTCCTTTCTCCCGCTTTCCATTTTATTTCCTCTGGGAAGACCAGTAATAAATGACGTTGTCAAGAGGCTGTGCTCCCCCTCCCTTGGCTTTCTGCCACAAACCTCTCTACAGTCTGCTGCTCACCTACCTCCTCTTCCTCCAGCCTCACATTTTGGGGCCTCCACGGGCATCCCCAGGAGCTGTATGTAGAGCATTCTGTCCCGGCCTCCAGGACCAGTGGCACATCCAGCTGCTCACAGCTACGCTTGGGGACTCGTGGCTGGTACCCTGCAGGAGCCAGTGGCAGGGACAAGCTGCCTCCAGGCACCAGCCAGCAAGGAGGGGACCTTGGCCTGGCTGACTGCCACTCCTCGCCTGTGGCTTGCACACCCAGCTCCCTCTTTACCCCAAGACCTAGGGCAGGAGGACCCTGGGCGTAATATACCTCTGTCCCCCAGCCCAGGTCCCAACCTCAGCCACTCTAGCTCTGAAATGCGGTCTGGAGGTGTCCCCACTCCTCCCAGCCTGTGCCCAGCTGTCTCCAGGGGCTGCTCCCTTCCCCCTCCTCCTGGGGTGCTTAAGACCCCTTCAAGTCAAGAAACTAGACACTGTCTTGAAGTCCACTTTTGTCCCCTCTGCTCAAACCTTGGGAGACTCTGGGCTGAGGATGGAGCCCTGACCCCCGCCAGGCTAGTTCAAGGCTGAACCCCTGTGCGGGCTTTCTCAGCAGGACGAATGTGGTGCTGCAGGCGGGCAGGCAGTCAGGGACACAGGGACCCCCCAGGGGCAGTCCCCTAGAGAAACCACGCCTCCCAGGGCTCCCACTAGCAGACTCCACACCGCACACCATGCTTTCCGGGCCCGGAAGCACCCATCGGAGGCGCCACTGCACTGGGGACCCAAGCTATCTGAATAGTGCCCGAGAGACCCTTTAGGGAGGGGGAGGGGCGGGGGGCTGGGGCTGGCTCCCAACTGCCCCCGAAGCAAGTGCCGCCAGGACCCCGCCCCCAGTGTGCAGAGCAATGACAAAAAGGGCTTCCCACTATGAACGTGTGAGGAGCGAAGCTCCGAGGCACCAGGCTGGGGAGGGGCTAGGTAAAGGGGTCCCTCCGCCCAGCCCCTCCGCTCCCAAGGCCGCATACTAGAAAGAAGGCTGCGTGTTCCAAGTGGTGTTTATTGAGCGCTTGGTGGGCGGGGCCTCGGGTACCAGGGCGGGGTCGGGGGCGAGTCCCGGGGACGTTCCCTCGGGCGGGTCTCTCGAAGTCTCCCCTCCGGCGAGCCCGGTCGGGTGATGGAGGCAGCATCCCGTCTCCGCGCCAGCTTCCTAGGCGGATGTGGTGGGACAGCAAGCGGAAGGCGAAGGTGCAGCCACCTTCCCGGCACCTTTGGAACCTGGCGGAGAAAGGCGGGGGGACCATCGTAGATGGTGATCACTCCGAGCTCCCCAAGTACCTCGGTTCCACCTGGGGGCTGCTGGGTTCGGGCGCCACCTAGGGGCTGTTCCTCGGATAGTAATCACTCGTGGACCCGGGCCGCCGCCCCGGGACCCAAAGCCCAAACCAAAGCACAGAACTTCCAACTCGGAGGGCCGTGCTGCCCCCTCGTGGCCGCCGGGCTCCGGGGAATGCGGATTTCTCCCGCTCCGGGGAAGTTAGCAAGACTACAGCCTCCAGCAGTCTCTGTAACTGTACGGAGTGACAGCTCCTCAAACGGCCCTACCCCCAAGAGGGAGAGCAAGGATTCCTATGCCCGCAAATACAAGGGAAAAAGGACGCCGGGCGTGTGGGCGCCTGGCACCCCACCACTAGGGCGGGTTGAGGCAGGAGATGGCAAGTTTCAGCCGGTCTGAGCAACTTAGTGAGACCGTGTTCCTCCCCGATAAAAATGGGTGGGAGGCTAGTGAAGTAGCTCAGTGCGAAGGCCCTGTGTTCCATCCGCAGCACCGCAAGAAAAAAAAGGTCTACAAACCTGGAGGGGTGGGGTGGAGGGGCCCTCCCGGCCCAGGCTCCGCCCCCAGGGGCTCCCAGCCTTACGGGTAGGCAGCGCCCCAACAGCATCCCACCCGCCCTCCACGGGGCCCGACTTCCTCAAAGGCCACTGATGTCCGTAGAATGCATTCTCCTTTAAAACCCCCTAGACCTGAGCTCTGCTGCACCTATAATAACCGCAGCCACTCGTCCCGGAACTGTGGGAAAGGCAGATGCCAGGGCCCGCGCAGACCCGGGGACAGGGGTGCAGTCTGCATTTGCACCGCACTGTAGGGCGAGGAGCCCCCGTGTAGAGCTGGGGCAGTGGGAGGGAAGCCGACCCCAGCGTTATGCCGAATGGAAAACGGTGCGCCCAGCCGCGTCCCCTGCCCACTTCTCCCCTCCCCCTCCCTCCTTGCTGTCTTGGGCTTCTCACCCAGGAGGCCACAGCAGCCACCTCCTTCGGAAGGCTCTGCACCCTCAGCTGTGACCCAGAACACTACTCAACCCTCCTCTTACACCTTCTGTGGCTCCCTAGTGCCTAAGTCTAACCGCCCCCCTCCAGCACTGGGGAGACACCCAGGGCCTGTGCGCTGAGCTACACAGCCCCAGCCTTTTCTAGTTTTTATTTTGCGACAGTCTTGATAGATTCCTGAATTGCCCAGGTTGGGCTTGAATTTGCGACCCTTTTGCCTCAGCACTCCAGAATGCTGGAATTACAGGTGTGCCCCACCAGGCCTAAGTCTAAACTTTGGAAGAGGTGACCCCCAAGGACCTACAGGCCTCCTCCTTGCCCCCGAACTCTGCCATCACCCCCTCCATCCAGGCACACACACTCTAGCCCAGACACACTGAATTTCACTGCATTCTAGCCCTCTGAGGATTGCTCTAGGCTCCTACATACCCTCTCCTCCAGGAAGCCCTCCTGGACCAGATGCATCCTCTACACACCCCATTCAGCACCCGGTTTTCACTGCCACTCTCCCATCCACCTGTCTACGGACACAACCAGCCCATAAAGCTATTTGGCTAGTGAGCTAACCGGTGAATACAGGGTACCGAGAGGCTGAGCAACTTGTGACCAGATACCCTTGTACCTGTTAGCGGGTGGCAGTGCTATGCCCGCCCCATGATCTCCTAGCAGATTCACCCCAAGTCTGGGAAAACATGGCATTATCCTTGTGGACCCAGAGAGGGAGAGCAGCTTGCCTAAGACCACACAGCAGATGCCATGCTCCAGATGCCCGGCAGTGGCAACACTTCCGTTTTCTAGTTGTTGTTTGGGAAACCGGGTCTTGCTATGTAATGTAGTCCAGGCTGGCCTTGAACTATGTTCAAGCTGGACTCGAACTCAGGCGATCCTCCTGCCTCAGCCTTCCAAGTGCTGGGATTACAGGTGTGCAGCAGCATGCCTGACCTAGACACTGTCTTATACTCTACGTGACTCCCTCCCCAAGCCCTATGAAGTGAGTGCTGCGGTTACCATAGAGGCCTCAAGGGGCTCCACCACCCACCCAAGACTAGTCCCCTTCAGGTGGGTCCCCAGCCACCTGCACAGGCACCTGCTGTTGCTGCTGTTCCTCCTCCTCCTCGGCGGTGATGGCCGGTGTCCTGTGACCTCACCTTGTCTGGCCGGGCCACCCTCTTGCCGGCGGAGTTGCGCGTGGTGTAGCTGTACACAGAGGTGTAGCCCTGGCCGGTGAGCGGGCAGAAGCGGCGGGTGTGAGCGCGCTCCCGGGTGGCCCCACACTGGGGGCACACATAGTCGCGCAGGATGGGGCACAGCACTCTGCCCGCCTCATCCTTCAGCACGTGGGACTGGTAGATGGCCCGCGACTCGCCGTTGTGCTTGCAGAAGGAGCACAGCCGCTCGGGGATGGCTCGGGGTTCTGAGCTCAGCTTCTGGCCCTCTGGCTCTGGAGCTGTGGTCACCGGAAGCTCAGGCGGGGAGTCCACCCTGGCTTCAGGCTCCTCTTCCCCACGCAGAGCCCCAATCAGGCGTGCCAGCCCCAGGTAGTCCGTCCATAGGTCAAAGGTCCCCATCACTGGTGCCCAAGTGCCAGGGAAGGGCAGTGGGAAGAACTCCCTGCGCAGCCCCTGCCCCCACCCTTCCACCTCTTCCCCACAGCCTCGCAGTCTGAGCTGCTCCTCTCCTTTTACCTCCAAGAGGCTGGGAGGGAAGGAGGGGCTGGGGGAGGCTCCTAAGGTCACAGGGGCCGTGCCTACCCCTTACTCCACTTGCGGGGCCACAGGATGGTTGCAGGGGGCACCACAGCCCCCTGCACAGGGCCAGGTCACCGGGGCGCTGCTCCTAGTGGGAGACCTCCCCTCCAGCCTCCCCCAGGGTGATGGGCCAGGTGATGACCTAAAGACCGCGGAGGTGGCCAGCAACTTAGTAATTTCTTTCTTTCCCTGGGCTCTTGGGCTGAGGCAGACTCTGCCTCCCGCCGGCCCTGGAAGGAAGGAGGGTGTCCCTGACTCTCAGACTGCCCACAGGGCTGAGCTCTCTCCCTGAGTGTTCACACCTCATTGTCTCCTGTAACCACACCAGGCTGGGGGGATTCATAATGACAAGGCTGGCAGAGGAGGCCCAAGGCCAAGCCTGGGGAGCCGGGCAGGAGGGGGTGAGATGGAAACCCCTGGGGCAGGAGGGCCGTGGAGTCTGGGGCAGTTAGTTCGGGCGGGTTCTGCTAATGGGGGAGCCTCGCCACCTGCAGCTCTTTGATCCTTTCCCTTTTTTCGGGGGTGGGGTGGGGTGAGGGGGTGGTTTCCTATACCGGGAATGGAACTCACGAACTTGTGCTTGCCAGGCAGGCGCTGTGCCACTGAGCTAAATCCCCAGCCCCCTCTTTGATCCTTTCCAATCAGAAGAGACCTCAGGATAGCCTCAGAAGGTGGGCTGTTTCCAGGAGGGACCCAGGTGGGACAGACCCTCAGGCACCCAGATCAGCAAAACTGAGGGCTGTGAGCTATACCTAGGACTTGGTCACCGGGAAGAGCTTGTGCTGCCTACACAATCCATCCATCCATCCATCCATCCATCCATCCACCCGACTGTCCATTATCCCTCCATCCCTGCACCCATCCACTCAGCCATTCATGCATCTGTCCACCCACCCATCCACCCACCCATCCATCCATTACCCACCCATCCATCCATCGCCCACCCATCCATCATCCACTCGTTCTCTACCCATCCACCCATCATTCCTGCATGCATGCATCCATCATCCATACTGCTTTCATAATTCATTTACCTATCTGTCCATCCAGCCATCGAAGAAAATTTTATTGAGCAAAACTCACCATGCCCTTTCAAAAAGGGGTTCTCAGCCTCTGGGTCCCCAGCCTGTGATCCACCCCACCCCACCCCCCGCAACCCTTCAGCATCTAATCAGCATCTAACGCATCAAAATCACACATCCCCAGCGAGGGGTGGTGGTGGTGGTGGCGGCGGTACACACTTGTTATTCCACTCAGCAGGCGGCTGAGACAGGAAGATCACAGGTTGGAATCTGGCCCGGCTAATTTAAGGACCTAGCAAGCAAGACCCTGTCTCAGCTGGGTGTGGTGGCACATGCCTGTAATCCCAGCACTTGGGAGGCTGAGTCAGGAGGATTGGTGCGAGTTCGAGACCAGCCTGGGCTACAAAGTGAGCTCAAGTCCAGTTTGAACTGCAAAGTGAGACCCTGCCTCAAAAAGGCCAAACAAACAAACAAACAAACAAAAACCCTGTCTCAAAATAAAAAGTAAAAAAAGAGCTGAGGATGCAGCTTGGTGTGAAAGCTATGGGTTCAACCCCCAATAATGGGAAAAAAAAAAAAAATCACACACATCAGCCCTTCTCCCCCCAGGGTGGGGGTGAGTGGGGGCAGAGTCTGGGTGGGTTCTGCCCTCTTCCCAGGGCCCCCTCCCCAGGCTGAGTACGGCCCAGCCACAGTGACATTCATCCCCCGGTGGGTCTAGCCTTCGTCCTCACAACCCACCGACAACAATGAATGTTGATTGTGGCCGAAGGGGCGGGGTCTCCCCAGATCTGGAAGGTGGGGCTCCGGACAGAAGGGCGGCAGTTCCAGGCCTCGGGGTCCACTCAACGGTCGATGGTTTGCCTGAGTCGTCCAAACTCACCGACAGGTTGAATGTTCCCCCAAACCCTTGCAGCATCACAGGGACTGGAAGAGGGGTCTGGCAGGGGCCGGGACCAAGCTGGGTGATGGGGATAAGAGGGGGGTATGGCCCCTCGACTCAGTAGGTCAGCAAGCAGTTACGAGTTGCCAACTTCTCGTCCCTACATCCGGGCCAAGCAGGAGATAGCGGCAGGCGGTATTCAGGCATTGCAAGGCATCCCCGGCCGGCCTCAGGGCGCGCCCACCCCCGCAGCTTGGGGGTCTGAGACCACAGGGTCTAGGAAGGGGAGAGGAAGGAGAGATTTTCCAGGGGCCCCAGGATGTCTGGCAACCCTCCAGCTCTGGCCGGAGGGACAAGGCTGTACTGAGAGATAAACAAGTCATTTTAATACAATGTAATGCTTTCCTGTGCCCCTGCACAGCCCTGATAAACAAGCCATTTTAATACAATGTAGTGCTTTTTGGGTTTTCACCTGTGCTGCAAGGCTGTTTATGAATACCCCGAAACTACCCAACCCCGGGGAACTGTGGAGAGTCCCTGACTGGACTGGGAGGGCCAGAGAGAGTGGGTGATGGGGGGAAGGGGCAGCCTGACCCCCTGATGTGGGGGTGCCGAGCCATGAGCCATCTGCCCTCCGCACTTCCTCCTCTGTCAAAGCGACCCAGCCCCGCTCCAGGGCCTCCTGGGGATGAGCGCCCATGCCCCCTCCGTGTCCCCGAGTCTTGTTGCCGGCCAAGCAGTGCCAAGGTCTGGGGACTCCTCAAGCCAAGGGTCATCCGTCCTGGTGGCAGAGAGCATGCCTAGAATGGGCGAGGCTCCGGGTTCCATCCCCAGCGCAGCAAAATAAATAAAAACCCTGTCCTCATCGCTGCACCAAAGGGTATAGTAAGTCCCAAAGAAAGCTCCTGGAGTGACCCCGGAGCAGATCAGGAACCTGAGGCGCGCTGACCTTGGGTGAACCCCACAATGCCCGAGGCCTGGTGGCACCAGAGTGCATCTCCGCCCAGACCCTAGCCCTGAGCGTGCCCCTGGAGACCTGCCACCACCCCAGGGGCCCTTCCCCAGCCCCTGTGAGCCGACCACTCAGGCCAGTACCGTTCCCAGGACGCTCCCTCTGGAGCCCCCGGAGGCTTGCATGGGGCTGGCCCCCAGACTCAATCCTCTTAACAGCGGCGGGACTGTAAAAACCACTCTGGTCACACGAGGTGGGGGGTGTGGGTGTCTTGGGGACACTCCTTCAGGGTGCTGGCTGTCCTCGCAGGACTTTGACCTTGTCCTGAAGAGCGGGGAAGTCCCGGCTTGAGGTCCCCCCCAAGCCTGGGGACTCAGGGAGAACAGGGTCTGGGTGGTCAGAAGGGACCCCCCCTCGGGGAAGGGGGGGGCTCGGTCAAGAGGCGGGGCTTTGGGCCGAGGGCGGGGCAATGCACGTGGACGTGGTGGGTGTGGCCCGGGCGGAGGAGGGGCGGAGGTGGTCCCGGTCCCGCCCTGTCCGCCTGTCTCTTTGTCCGCCTGTGTCGCGCAGGCTTCCCGCCCTCCGCGTCTGTCTAGGTCTGCCTGTCTCTTTGTCCCCGGGATCGCAGTCTGGGTCTGACTGTGCTTCCTGTGTCTGTGTCTGACGGTGCTCCCGCGCTGCGCAGCGTGCGCCTGTCTGCCGCTGTCGGAATCGACCGCGAGCGTCTGGCCCTGCACTCCCTACTTTCCCCTGCACCTGGTGACTGCAGCTGCCTGTCACACCCCTCACCGTGGGGACCTAGGGCCTCTGGGGGCTCCTGGGCTGGGGTCAGGTCCTGCCTAGACTCTGCAGTACCTGGGACAGAAATGGGGCTCTGTCTCCCACTTGCAGGCATGGGCACTGATGCAGGACTGACTGGTGCGGCTTTCAGAGCCCCACCAAGGGCCCCTCACCCCTTCTCACAGTAACTGGGAGGGTTGGCCTGATGCATCTGTTCCTACCAGGTGTGGCGGTGCACGCCTGTAATCCCAGCACTCAGGAGGCTGAGGCAGGAGGATCGCTTTGAGTTCGAGGCCAGCCTGGGCTACATGGTGAGACGCTCTCAAAAAAAAAGTTCAAAACCAAGTCCTGTGCTGTCTGTGTGTACAGAGTACATGTATGTGTGTGTGTGTGTGTGTGTGTGTGTGCGCGCGCGCGCGTGTGCGTGCACAGCACAGCCAGTGGAGAGGAGGCAGAGGGAAGAGGTCAGAACTGGGAAGACAAAGAACCCATTCTAGGGGTGCAGCCCCATGGGTGTGTCCATGGGGTCACACTGGTGACCCAGGCTGTCTAGACTGGCAGTTGGGGCTTTCTCATTTCATTGGCACCTGTGTGGCCTCTTAGGTCCCCATGCTGTCCTTCCGGGCCAGCCCCCAGGCTTCCCTTTCAGCTGTCAGGTCTGTCATGCCGGCCCTCACACAACGGGCTCATCTGGCTGGTCCAGCCCTCGGGGGGCAGTGGGCGGTGAGTGCAGCTTCCTTCCCTGCCAGCCCCCTGGGTAGGGGGCCAGGGCTGGAGGAGGTGAAGAGGGTCGCTCTCCTCATGGGTTGAAGCTGGGGGCCATGGAGGAGGTGGATTAATGGGAAATCCAACCAGGCACAGTGGCTCACTCCTGTCATCCCAGCCCTCTGGAAGGCTGAAGCTGGAGGACTGCAAGTTCCAAGCCAGCCTGGGCAACTTGGTGACTTAGCAACACACACACACACACACACACACACACACACACACACCCTTGCCAAAAAAAAACAAAAAACAAAAAAAAAACCCACTAAACCGGGCTGGAGATGTACCTCAGTGTGAAGGCCCTCGGTTCAATCCCTAGTACCAGAAAAAAGAAGTGGCAGGATCTGGGCACTTCTCCTGAGGCTCCTGGTGCAGGGTGACCCTGGCTTCCGTTCAAGGTGGGCTCCATCTGTCTGTGTGTGCATGCATCAGTGGGGAAGCCTCTCTCCGAGGGTGCTCTGCTGGGCTATTCAGCATTCTGCGGGTGTCTGCCAGTGCAGGTGGGTGTGCTCTACAGTGGATGGCTGTCTCTCTGCCACAAGTGTGTGTGTGTGAGGTGTGTGCATGTGGGCTTCTGTTTGTGTGTGCAATGTCAGCACGCTGTGGGTGTCTGTCAGGCTAATTGTGTGTAACTGCAGGTCGATGTGTGAGCCAGCATAGTAAGTGTCTGGCATCTATTGTCACTAGGTTTGACAGTAATCTTTGTGTCAGCCACAGATCAAGTCACCCTGGTCCTACCCCCAACTAAAATGTCAGCTCTAAGGAGCCCCAGATTTTGCCATCATCCACAGATCTATCCCCACTGTTAAAACTTTCTGGCATAAAACAGATGCCAAATAAACAAATATTCTACTCAGGAAGCTGAGGCAGGAAGATCAACAACTTGGAGGTCACCTTGAGCAATTTAATGACTTAGCAAGACTATCTCAAAATAATGTAGCTCAGTGGGAGAGTGCTTGTCTAGCATATTTGAGGCCCTGGCTTCCATCACCAGTACTGCCAAAAAAACAAAAGAAGTGT